TATCCTGCGGGGCGTGCGTTGCTCGCCTGTCTCGGTCAGCCCTCTTAGCTGCGGCCTGCCTGCTGTCGAGCGCTGCAGAGAATCCTGCAGCACCGCCGTCAAGAACGACTTCCTTCTCCACACGCAAGCAAACCACCAGCGTCGTTGTCACTCTTCGCGTTCGTTCGTTGAAGAATTTGGTGAGTAAACCGGGTCTAAACCACTCTCTTCTTCTCTGCCAGTCTCGAGTGCTGCCGGACTCGCCGCCTGGCTTTTCCGAGCTCTCTCGCCTATCTGTCGCCTTGTCTGGTTGGTCCAGCACTAGCATCAGAGGTCCCATCCCAACCACCTCCGCCTCTAAACCCTCCGCCTCCCCACCGCAGTCTGCGAAGAAGCCTTTCTGTTGGCTTTCCTTGTTTACCTCTCATAGACGGCCGCTTATTGATTACACTGAACACAATTCATCTTCTTTCGTGCACTCAAACGAGTACTGACGCGTGTTGCGCGTAGTGTTTTCTGGCAAGTGCAGCGGTTATCAGTATCGATACAGCTCGGCCCGCATTAACGAAGCGCGACGACATTACGACCCTTCACGACGATATCGCCCACGCCAACCCTGCAGCACATGTTTCGAGCCCGAACTGCCCTATCCAGCTATTCTTCCAGGCCGGCATTTGTCAATTCGTCCCTTTGCGTGTTTTGAAAACCAGCGTCAAAAGCATTGCCGACTACCAGCGCTTCCCTGCTTCACGACTGCAACGACGTAACGACTAGCTTTTTGAGAATCCAGCATTGTTTGCAGCGTTCGATTTCGTCCCGCAGCTTCACTCTTGCTTTGAGCTTTGCGTCGCGTCTGCCCGCCGTCAATACATTCTGGTTAGTCCCTCCATTCACTATCACCAACACTGCACTCTCTCACCCCGATCGATTCGGCACAATCTGTCCCACTTGACCGCTCTCGCTGCGTCCTCCAATCTGAATTTCCAGTTGGTCTTGTTTGCACACGTGTTTGGCCGCGTCTCGTTGGTTCCCGCTGCAGTTGACCGACCTCACCTTTGCGAAGCAAACAACTAACTTGCGGTGAAGACTATTCGCCCCGTCAACCTTCTGCGGCAATCTATAACATCAGCAAGCTATCGTCTGTCGGTTACGTGCGCAGATTCTGCAATCTAGCCTTGTGAGCGTCGACAGCTTGCTCTTCCACAGCATACGCTCGGTTATCGAGAGGACTGACTCGAGCATCCTCGCGAAGAGCTTCTCGAAGTCGAACACAAACCACGTCCACGCGAAAACACGTCAATACCGTAAAGCTGGAGCTCCCATCGATCTCGTCGGTCCACGCTCGCGGCCCTGTTGATACCTGGTACCAGTCCCACTACACGCCTAAGCCTGCAGTGTCGAACGAGCGTCTGCCAGCCCTACCCCAGATCCAGTCGCATCCCAGCGCCTCGTCCAACTCCTCATCACCTCGAGGTGACTCCATTAGCTCTGGTTCAGTGGTTGGTGGAAGCGCAGGATCCCAGACATCTTACGCGGCGTCGATCAACGGTCAAACCTCCGGCTTCAAAACGCCGTCCCCCGAGCAGACTCCCCAGTCTCTCAATCGTGACCCTCAGTCCGCGAACGCGCATTCTGTCCAGAGCTCCCCGTTCGGTACCCAGGACGGATACGGTTTTGCTCCAGGCGGCTACAACAGCATGAACCAGATGCAATCGTATGCTGACGTGCATCAATCACACATGGCTACCGCTACACACGCCCCAGCTTCAGCTCCCCCTTCGGGTCTGTCGCATTACTCATACCCACAACAGCAGTCTTCAATGATGCAACCTCAACACCAGTACAGCCAAGGCCCGCCTGGATATCCGTACGGATACCCTACTGGTGTCCCTTCGCAGATCCCTGCGTCTTCCTCAATGAACCCTGCAATGGTCCCTTCAACGCTGCAGCTTCCGGGTGAGTCTGACACCGAACGTACCATATGATTTAGACTAACTTCTCCAGCCATGTCCTCTGGTGCGCCCACGTCATCACTAGCTGGTTCGCAGGGCTATCCGTCTCAGACATTCGATCACACTGGCCAGGTCGCTCCACCAGGAATGAAGCCTCGTGTAACTGCCACGCTCTGGGAGGACGAAGGTAGTCTATGCTTCCAGGTCGAAGCGAAAGGCGTATGCGTTGCTCGTCGTGAAGGTAAGATGCACTCGCGGATCTGTTCTTCTGGAGAAACGGCAAGCTAAACTACTGCAGACAATCACATGATCAACGGTACCAAGCTTCTGAACGTTGCGGGAATGACCCGAGGTCGTCGAGACGGCATACTGAAGAGCGAAAAGACGCGCCATGTCGTTAAGATTGGCCCGATGCATCTCAAGGGTGTCTGGTAGGTGCCATTACTCTGAACATGGTCAATACGTATTAACACGAAACAGGATTCCCTTCGAACGGGCTCTTGAGTTTGCAAACAAGGAGAAAATCACCGAGCAGCTATATCCTCTGTTCGTTCACGACATTGGAGCACTGCTCTACCATCCGTCGAACCAGACGAGGGCAAGTGTAGGAAGCGCTGCCATGGCTGCTGTTGACCGCAACCGAAGACCTGACCAGATGCAGACACATCAGCGATACCTCTCCGGTCCGGCGGCGTCGCAACCTCCTTCGCTCCATCATCATCACTCAATGAGCAACCCGATTGGTGCTGCCATGTCTCAGCCACCGCATGCTATCCAGCCACATCCCTCGTCAGGTCGTCCAGGCATCGACCGAGCTCACACCTTCCCCACTCCTCCTACAAGTGCCTCGAGCATCATGGGCATGGGCAACCAAGGCAGCTCTTATGAGTGGAACGGTAGCAACGTCCAAAACGCTCAGAGCGGTCAGCCATTGTCAATTGACACCGGACTGAGCAACACGCGCTCCGTACCAACCACACCTGCAAGCACTCCTCCTGGCGCTGTTCAGCAAGGTATGTCCTACGCCTCAGGTCAAAGCTTCGATGGCTCCAGGCCCCTGTACTCGGGACCACCCTCGCAACCAGGCCAATATGCGCAAGGACAGCCCATGATGGCATACCGTCAAGACGGCTCTTACCCAAAGACAGAGATGGCACCGCCATCCCGCATCAGCGATGTGCCAGATGAGGGCGATGTTAAGCCAGCTGATGGAATGATGCCACAGGGAAGTGAGCAGGTGGCTCCTCCCCAGGCTGGAAGTGAGGGGGACCATGACCACGACAATGAGTACACTCACTCTAGCGCTCCATACAACGGAAACAGGGGCCCGTACGGCTACACTCCTAACGGTGCTCCGGGTGCCATGCACCCCGACCACGCTCACCTTTCTCCGGAGATGACAGGATCACCTCATCAGAACGGGTCCGGACGAGCCACGCCTCGGTCGGCAGCCACAGGTCAGCCTCAATGGAACTCGGGCTACCCCACGCCGCAGCGCCAGGCACCGCCCTCTAGCAATCTTTACAACGTTATGAGTGACCCCCGAGGTGGTCCTAACGGTAACGCAGCTCACGACGCTTACCAGGGACCTGGGGCTGTATCGCAATATCCCAGTCAGGGATATCCCCCTACAAACGGAGTCAACAACTCGGGTAAACGCGGTCGCGACGACGAAGATCAGGACCCATACCGCCCCGACAGTGTCCAAGGCGACGACATGGGCGGTCTCAAGAGGCGCAAGACCATGGAGGGTGGCGCGGTTGGCGGCAACTACGCTGATCCCAACCCTGGCATCCAGCGTGCGCATACCATGTCAGCTCAGCGTGCCAGACGGTAATGGGATAACCTTCGCGCAAGCATTTGGGTGGTCAGCTGCCGGTTCCCATATTAGAAGGCGGTTTGGCCTCTATCTCCAGCGAATTCGCGGCATTGAGCGAGCGGTCTTTTCAGAAGCAACATACAACATGCCACCTCGACATCTCTCAGGCACTCTCCAATCGGAACGCAACGGTTCGAGGCGACCTAGACGCCACCTTTTCGCTCCCTCATATTTCTTTGTGTTCACATTTCCTTCTGATTTTATCTCTTGTCTACATTTCAACACGTTTCGGCATTCACGACTTTTACGACCATTTGCTTCGTGGAACCACTGTTCCTATACACCATGTCCTGGGCTTTGAGTCTCATGATATACGACTTCTGCATGCGGCACGAGCACGTGCAAGTCTTGTACATTCTACAATCACGTCCTTTACCTTTCTGAAGCTTGGGAGAGTACTGGAAGCTTTTCGACGTCGGTCGTCCTGTCACCTCAATAATGCTCTCGCTCGACATACGCCAACCCCACCACCGCTAATACCGGATACATATACGTGGCTGTGCGACCGACGACGTGAGCGACACAACTCCAGTACTCTTTCTCGTTTCGAAATCAACGGCACGCCATGTTTGACGAAAATGCAGGCGTACACGATGGGATGTTCACGCAATGATGATGTTGATTTGGCGGGCATGTCCAGAGCGGGCATGTCGCCCTGTTGTTTTTTTATCTAGGTGGTACGTTCGGGCTGAATAGCATACGGGCAGCCGTCGGGCCACTTTGAGCGTTTTAGGAGACGGGATGGCTTTAGTGTCTACTTTTCGTTGGGCGAGCCGGCGATATGGACCTTATGACGTTAATGAGGGAATCAAAAGCTCTTTTTCCACTGATGCACTGAGCGATTGTTGTTTGAATGTGATGTGTTGTGTGAGGCTTTTTCACGTAGTAGACACTAAGGACTGGCTCTAGCGAAGGGTGAGGTGGCAGTGGACACCGCTTCAACAACTGGGGACCCATGGAAGGCCTTGGGCATTGAAGATGGCAGAATGTTGGTAAAGAGATGAAAAGCAAGCGCGCATCAGGAGCATGACAAAGGCGATGAAATTGCGGCGGCTGTTAATGTCTGTCATGGAGTTGGGTACCTATGAAGCAATGGCAGCCTGACACCAGGAGAGAGGTGACGTGCGTACGTAATCCGGGAGCAGGATGCGACCTGCCCCCTCGAGGTGTCCGTCTTGGCAGCAGCCCCACGTCGTCATCGGGTAAGCAAAACAAGAGGCACGAAGTGATCGAACGCGCAACCCAGAACGAGGCGGAGCCAGGCAGTCACTTTGCCGCCCAGTATATCCTTTTCTTCCGCATCTGACTTCTGTTGACTTGCACCGCCAACATGAACATCATCAAGCTGCAAAAGTACGTGGGCGCGAGCTCCCTCTGACAGCATCCGTTGGGTTCCACAGTAGCTAACCAGGCATTGCGCACAGGAAGTACCCCCAGTTCGAGCAGGGCGAGATCTTTGGCCTGCAAGATGCCTTCCGGAAGCTCGACATCGACGACAAGGGCTACCTCGACGAGGGAACCGTCATCAAGGCCGCGCAGCAGTCGGAGCACCAGCCGTACGACGTGGTGCGACAAGCCCTAAAAGAGGTGGAACTAGACAGCTCGAGAAGAGTAGAGCTTGACGACTATGTAGATGTAGGCATCGTGGTACGCTGTGGCCTGTCCAGAAGCTAACCGCCGCAGCTCATCTCCAAACTGCGCGTCTCGTCTCCTGCCCAACAGCGCATGTCAACCGGCCCAACCCGACCACGAGCCGGCACAGCTTCAAGCGTCAACTCGCCTTCCAACCCTGGGCATGCCTCGAAAGGCAGCGTCGGTGGCGGCAGGATCCAGGTCCAGGGCTCTTCTGCAAATGTCACCCACACCATCAACGAAGATGAGCGAACCGAGTTTACGCGCCACATCAACGCCGTCCTCGCCGGCGACCCAGACATCGGCGACCGCCTGCCCTTCCCCACAGACACGTTTGAGATGTTCGACGCCTGCAAGGACGGCCTGGTCTTGTCCAAGCTCATCAACGACAGCGTACCGGACACCATTGACGAACGTGTGCTGAACAAGCCGGGCAAGAAGATCAAGTCGCTCAACAACTTCCACTTCACAGAGAACAACAACATCGTCATCGAGTCGGCCAAGGGTATTGGATGCTCAGTGGTGAACATTGGCAGCGGAGATATCATTGAAGTACGCGAGCATTTGATTCTGGGTCTGATCTGGCAGATCATCCGGAGAGGTCTGCTGGGCAAGATCGACATCAAGCTGCACCCTGAGTTGTACAGGCTATTGGAAGATGACGAGACATTGGAGCAATTCCTGCGTCTGCCACCGGAGCAGATCCTGCTGAGATGGTTCAACTACCACTTGAAGAACGCCAAGTGGCACAGGACGTACGTAGACAAGGATATGGTCTGAATGCGTCAACATAGCTAACCTTCGCAGTGTCTCCAACTTCTCGACCGACGTCAAGGACGGCGAGAACTACACTGTTCTCCTCAATCAGCTGGCCCCCGAAACCTGTTCACGCTCGCCGCTACAGCAAACCGATCTCCACCAGCGCGCGGAGATGGTGCTGCAGAATGCCGACGCTCTCGACTGCCGCAAATTCCTTACACCTACATCTCTGGTGGCTGGAAACCCGAAGCTCAACCTGGCTTTCGTCGCCAACCTGTTCAACACACACCCCTGCCTTGACCCCATCACCGAGGAGGAGAAGGCTGAGATTGATGACTTTGATGCCGCGGGAGAGCGCGAGGCTCGTGTCTTTACTTTGTGGCTCAACTCTCTTGACGTCAAGCCGGTCGTACAATCCTTCTACGAGGACCTCAAGGACGGTACAGTCATTCTGCAAGCATACGACAAGGTCATTCCAGGCAGCGTAAACTGGCGACACGTTAACAAGCCACGCGAAGGCCAAGAACTGATGCGCTTCAAGGCCCTGGAGAATACCAACTATGCCGTCGAGCTTGGCAAGCAGGTCCAGTTCTCGCTACCAGGTATCCAGGGTGCTGATATCACCGACGGTCAACGCACATTGACTCTCGGTTTGGTATGGCAGCTGATGCGCAAGGACATCGTAGCTACCCTCAACGGCCTCGCTCAACGCCTCGGCAAGCGCGAGATCTCCGACGCGGATATGATCAAGTGGGCCAACGATATGGCACGCAAGGGCGGCAAGGGCAGCCAAGTCCGCTCTTTCAAGGACTCGTCTCTCGCCAACGCCGTCTTCCTGCTCGATGTCCTCGCCGGCATGAAGCCCGCATACGTCGACTACGACCTCGTAAACCAGGGCCGCAACGACGACGAATGCTACCAGAACGCCAAGTTGGCCATCAGTATTGCGCGAAAGATGGGCGCCACCATCTGGCTCGTACCCGACGACATTGTTGCCGTACAGAGCAGACTTATCACTACCTTCATTGGTAGCTTGATGAGCACGCATGAGAAGACGGGTGGACAATAAGTCGTTGGGGTCTTTTCCGATTGTGTCTTTTGGAATGAGTAGATGATGTAACGCCCTATGGGTGAAGCGTGCGAGCATTTGAAAATAGTTTATCACTGATCGAATCTACAACATTATCGTTGCTGTCTTCATTCAGTGTGAGTGCGGTGTTGACCAGTGGACGGGCGCGCCTTCCTCGTATGTGCTCTCACAACAACAGCGCAACTGCCAACATCACTGTATAGGATAAACCTCGATTTGGATTTAGTATCTCTAGCGGTGCTATACTGAGTTCGAACGTCTCTCATGTGAAAGATGGTGCAAAAAATCCGAATAGACGAACGAAAAGAAACCACTGGTGAAGTGAAACATTGCCGACGTTGCGCAATCCTAAGCGTACCTAGATATCACTCTTCACTTGAACGCGCGACTGGTGCACTAGCGCCTTGGCTAAGCAAACGCGACTGAGAAGGTCAACACCGCACTGAAATTTTGCTCTCACCTCCAACAACTCACAACACCATGGAAGACACCAACATGGCAACCTCTTCGCTGCATCAGCAGCATCAACAATTCGGCCAAGGCCTTGGTAACAACGGCGATGGCCCGCCTGGCGACAGGCAAGATGACAAGTCCCAACGTGGGCACTACGCGGATGTCATCCGCCCGCCTGATTTCATGGCAGTCATGAAAGACGCCGGCGTGAAGCACTTTCATACCCGGTGCATGATGTGCGGTGAGACGGCAACGTCACACCACCGCAAGACCTGGCGCGAATGCCGAGGGCGTTGTCCACTCAACCCCAATCATACTCACACTCAGCAGATCTGCCCCGACCTGCTGAAGGTTGCCAACGAGGATTGGTGTATAGCGCATCTGGAAGAGAGCATGAAAGCTGAGCGTGATACCGCTCGTGGGCCAGAGACGCTGCAGCGACAAGAGCAGCGACGAGAGTCGCAATGCGAGCACCGACATGAGGCGCCAGGCGTTTCTAGCCTAGACAGGCAGGCTCCCGCGGCTCCTCCGAAATTCTCCAATGCGGCTCCTCCGCAAGGTAACTGGCAGACTAATAGGTCGCCAACGCCATATCTCGACGACAGAAGGTCGAGTTCCGGTGAGCGCTACGGCGCTATGTATAGTCCTGTACCTGAGACAGGACATGATCATCATGGTGGTTATACTGACCATAGGTATCCTTCCGATGGAGATAGATACCCAAAACTCACTGGCCGAGGCCGCAGTCGGGACGTACGTGAGCGGAGTCCGCCACTGCCTGAAGAGAGTGTCGACCATGGCACTCAAGCGATGATCGCTAACCCAGGAAGCCCTCAAATAACGGGCACACGCAACAGGAACCAGGCTGTTCAATACAGCCCAAGCACCCATAAGACGCCGGCTCAGCCGCACAACGTGCCAGCAACCGACCCTACGGACCTCCTAACTGATGTCGATATCGACTCCACCGAGCTGCCTGGTATGGCGCTTATTGACGTCGACCGCTATGTAGACCTAGCACGGAGAATACCGACTGATGGTTTCTTGCCGCTGATCAAGGCGGGTTTCGACGATGAGCGCGCCTCAGGCTCGCCATTGAGTGGTATCATGGAAGATCCCGAGTTCCCTCCCGTATGGCAAGGCGCCTGTGATCGGTTTTTCTGTTCCATGAACGAAGAGGTCCTTATTGAGACCATTGCTGGCAACATTGATCTTGCTTACCTGAAAAGCCGGGCCGCTGGTACTGACGTCGCACAGTACATTGACAAGCTGCGAGATCGCGCTTCATACCATCCTTCGTGCTATGTACGGCCCTTGACCGATACTAACGGCTCCGCCATGTCGCTTGACCATTATGAGCAGATGCTAGACATCGCTGAGCGCTACTGCGAGCGCAGTGTGGCACATGCCACCGAAGCGTACAACATCGACTGCATTGCCGATGAAGAGGAATCTCAGACGACGGATTCCCAAGACACCACTGGCTGGTCCCTCGATGATTCGAGGAAAGGTATTCGCCGCCATCTCCAGACAAGCGCAAACGCATTCTCGGAGAGCAGAGCGAAGTGTCTTCGCGCCTGGATCGTAGCAGGCCGAGCTCGCATACGCCATTGTCGAAGCCAAGGCATCAACCTAGCACCCACAATACAGTATGTTGGGTACGCAATGAACGCCGCAAAGCGGCGCAAAGGCCACGAAAGCCGGAACTCGGCTAGTTGGCTCAGTCTGCTTGTAAGCGACATATGCGAGACGCAATGGCCTGGTTTGTACAGGCTCAAGTTCTACGTGATCTGCTTGATCCTCGACCCGGGTCTGGGACAGCTCTGCGAGGTTGTCTTCTGTCGCTATCTACGCGCTTACACCGTGAATGGCGGCCTTAGCATCGATTGGGCAGGCAAGAGTATATCAAGCCTTGCCTTGCCAGAGCTAACAGATGCAGAGCGAGACGACTTTTGGGCTCGCAAGCAAAAGTGGATCGAAAAAAACACTGACCTCACAGCGAATGTCACCCTTGAGGGGCAGCGCCGCAAAGCTTTGTATAAAGCTGAGTACATGCAGAAAATTGCTGCAGGAAAGAAACGTCTGGCACAGCTCAAACAGAGAACGGCCAATGCTAAGAGCTTGTTCGCCCAAGCCGAAGAAACCCTCAGGATAGAGAGGAAGAAAGGCCCACTAACCGCCAAAAATGCGCAGGCGCTTGAAGCCGTCGAACTCGGCAAAGCAATCCTCAAGCGATAAGCAGAACCGCCGTTCGCTTCTACCGCGGCAATGCCGCAGGATGACGGGAGAATGGAGGGAGTGGTACATGGGACTGGGCTGGAGGCAATGGTACATGGGGCTAGTTCAATGAATATGACCACTTCTTCTCCATACATGCCACAATCATGAGTTCACATTGATCGTGTTCAACTGTAACATCCAACTTCCGATGCCTTTTGGCCACTATCTCGCGAGTTGCAACAGCTGGGGATGAAGGGCTGGTCATTGGTATGCGCCCAATAGTCATTAAGGGTATACACCTAACACTCCTTGTATCACGACCTCATCCCACCACTCCTCATACTCACACTCTCTGTGCCACTACTCTTCTCCCATCCATCTGCCTTCCTCCGTCCTAACGCCCTTCGAAGAATCCAATCTTTTGCTGTAACTTGCTCTTCTGCATCCTTTGACCCGCCCTCTATTAAACTCTTCAATAAAACGTCATCCTCGGGCCGGCAAAAGTACACAAGACTGTACCTCGTAACACTGCCCTGTTCACCTGGCGGAGCAACAACGCGATGGATGTTACTTCTCAGCGCACCATCAGAGAACTTGACAAGCGCATCTCCAAGATTGACGATGCAGTGTCCAGGTAAAGGACGAACATACGTCCAGCCATCTTCACACAGCTTCTTCTCCACGTCGGTAGGTGGGGGAGACGCGGACATCGGCTCAAGTGGCGATATGTGTTCAGGCAGCCTGACCTGCAGGCCACCCAAACGATTGAACAGCACTGTGACGCTACCAAAATCCGTATGTTCACCCAACGCCACGCCTTTGAGCGATTGCTCCTGCGGCGGCGCTTTGACAAAACGGATCTGGTCCCCTGATGCGGCATTCAAGCGATGGATGGCAGGCAGACCACCCGCTCCACGGATATCCTCTTTTAAAGGGAGCCGGGAAGATAGCAGAGAAGTGACAAGCATACAGATCGCGTGTGAGGAGGCGATGTACGATTTGTACAGACCACGATGTGGATTTAGGACCGCTGGGGAGGGGAGGGGGTCAGTGAGACCAATGACATCGTCCTTGGAGATCTAAGATGGTGTATTAGTACTGGAGACATGTGAGAGAAGATCGACGTACGTTGTAGAATTCATTCCTATCTTTCGTCCCTTGCTTGTCAACTATGCCTTCGCCGTATCCTTTGTAACCAAAGTAACTGCCCTGGTCTTTAAAATCGTACTTGATCTTCTCTGTGACATCGAGATCATAAAAGTCTTGCATCACATCGAACAATTTGTCCACGTCTCCGAGTAACGCATCGCCATCGATAGTAGTTCCATTATTCGTGTCACTGTTGCGTGTGCGTACGTCGAGGTAAAAGAAACCTAATTCGCAACATGCTTGCCAGCACCTGTTTTGTTCTTCTTCATCGTGCTCAAGAAGTTTCTGGAGGGATATGCGTAGAAGAGGCGCAGTGGGTACGTTATCTGGAAATTTTGGGAGATGGGGAAATGACTCGCGTTGCGGAGATGGAGAGTGGTCTGAGTGAGGCATGGTTAGCACTGGGCAGTTGTCTCAGTTCGCGAGGTTCATCGCGAAGGAGCGCAGGGTACGCACGTCGTTCGCATACAGTGGGGCAGATATAGCTGTTGGTGTTAAGATGTTCATGTGGAGAGCCGCGTGGAGAACGCGGGGTAGCCTCGGATAGCTAGACAACACGCGATGCTACGGATAAACAAAGAGATGATCACAGCAAGGCACAGATGAGGCAGCATAGACATCACGAAGCATGGACAAGGATTAAAGGAGACGCAATTCATTAACTATCCACAGATGTAGCTCCGATATTTCCACCACCCAAGCAAGCAGACATAGACGCGCCCCAAACACCGAGAGCGATAGACACCGATCGATGCCCGAGTGCGCCATGCTACCAGTCAAGTGACGATGCAAAAGTTATGAACACAATTTATAAAAGGTGGCCGTGAGGAAACAAACGCCTAAGGGATAATTGATTATAGAACGTTTGAATAAGACCTTGAAGGTGTTAGATGATGAACGATGATGAAGGTTGATGGTGATGATGACTTACCATTGACTAGATGTTTCTACAACCTGGATCCGTGGACAACCTTGTAGTCGACAGCCATCTCCATACCATCGTCATCGATGACGAGGATGCGGACGCTGCCACGGCCGTTGTCGAAAGACTCTGTCAGGCGGGAGATGAGACCGCTCTGGTCAAGGACGGGAAGGCCCTGCTTGACATCACCAGACTCGGTCATGGCGACAACGCGACCGTCCTCACGGATGTCGAGAACACGGTACTGCTTGAAGACAGGACCGAGCATGTTCTGGACAACGACGGAGGGGGCCGGGTTGGAGATGAAAGAAGACTCCTCATGGAGCTGCTTGGTGAACAGGTCAACACCGAGGTAACGGTGCTGGCCAGTCTGGGAGGAGGTGGTGATACGGATGACCTGGCAAGGGCGGCCCTGGAGGATCAGGAGATCGCCGATGCGGATGTGGTGGCAGGGGATGGTGATAGTCTTGGAGGAAGCCATCTTGCGGACTGTACGAGCGGAAGCTGGTGCAGGTGCGATAGAAGCGGAGACGGGAGCAGGTGCAGGGGCAGGTACAGCAGCAGAAACTGTGGACCTGGGGGGAGAAGGGTTGGAGTGGACGCGAACGACTCTCTCAACAGGAGCTCCGGATTGGACGGGGCGGCTAGGGGCAACAGAAGGAGTAGCTGAAGTGTACTTCTCCTTGACGATTACCTCTTCACGTTCGTCGTCGTACTTGGCACCAGGGAAAGAGTGCTCGTGAGAGTGGTGGTGGCGGTGAGGGTGGATGGGGTGTTGGATACGGTCGGCGACCTTGTGAGCGGCGTGAGAGATTCCTTGACGAAGCGAGTGGTATTGGCCCTCGTTGTCGTAATATCCCATATCACGCTTGAACTTCTTGGGGGGTGCAGCAGTGGAACGAGCAGATGTTTCTACTCGGACCTCAGATGGCTGGTGGCTGGCGACACTCTCGACGTGCTTGCTGCTGGGGAAGGTATCGTGCTTGGTGGTGTAAGTCTCCTTTGAGTAGCTTGCACCGGCGACGATGGGACGAGTACGTTCGCGGATCTGACGTTCAGTAACGTCGATTTGAGATGGAGCGTAGTCGGTGGCAGGGCCGTGGACTGTATTGAAGTGTCTATCGTAGGTTGTGTCCTGAACCTCGACGTGGGAGTGGGTAGAGGTAGGAGGTTGGGGGTGAGGTTGGTAGCTGAAGGAAGAAAGGAAGGTCAGCTTTGGGTTGGGCAAGGAAGAGCTTAGAGGAGGTGAGAGAAAAGTGGAGACTGCATGTCGCTAGGACAACAACAGATGAAAGGGGTTAGCGGCTAGCGCGTGGCTGGGTGCCGCTAAAGTCAGGGGGTTGGTCTGTTGTGCTGATCCGTGCGAAGATGCGCTGGCAAAACAATGGATCGGACTTACCGGTCGTGGGATCGCTCAAACTCTACGCGGTCAGTACGATGAACGTGCTGAGAGTGAGGCTGGGGCTGCTGGAATTGCGGCTGGGACTGCTGTTGAGGCGGCTGGAACTGCTGCTGGGGCTGGCGGTAGCGAGTTTGCTCGTGGATATGTAGCTCCTCACGGTGCTGAGGGGGCTGCTGAGCGTGGAATTGCTGGGACTGGGAAGCCTGCTGGAACTGCTGCTGCTGGGGAGGCTGGGGACGACGAAGACGCTCCTCTTCGTAGATGTGGACCTCTTCCTTGACGTGAGTGTCGTGCTGCTGCGGTTGCTGCTGCTGTTGGGGAGCCGGAGGAGGAGGTAGGACGGTGGCGGAGAAGGATTCGTGGGTTTCTTCGTGACCTTCCCGTCCGTGTGAAGCCTGTTGCTCAAACTGTGCTTCCTGTTCTTCTACCTTTACGCTGGTAGTTTCCTTAAATTCCGCGTTCCGATACGCAGACGGGAAGACACTGAAGGGGATCGGAACCTGCGCGGGTTAGCATAATTGCTTATACACTCGCGGTGAAAGAGCATACTCGTGCTTCAAAATCCAGTTTGCCGGAGTCGGGTCGCTCTTTCTCGAAAACCCTTCGAACCGTTCGAAAACAATTCGAAAGGAATCAAGAAAGAACTTCTTGGCTCCTTTGAGGGTCTCACTTGGAGATTTCTGGTGATGAAAGATCTACTGAAGCGTCGCCAGCTTTATGGTGTTGACGTGCAGCAGCTTGAAGATGCGCAATTGGATGCAGTAGCGGGGTGTAGGTGGAGGAGTGATGGAGTCAGAATGGCCGAAGAGGGGATCAAGTAGATTGGCGGTCAGTCGGATCACTGTTGTGTCGGCGTCTCGATGATCGCAGGGTTGTGGAGGCTGGGAAGCTTTGGCAGAGCTGTCCAGGAGCGGACTAGCCTTGTTGACACGGAGCACTAGCGCGTATCAGCTCCCCCTTTTCTGCCTGTGCCATGGACCGATTGACCCCAGACAGCATATCACATCCTGGCGCTTCTCGCACCGAGGTAATTTCGGACGCGCAATTCACCTCAGCACGGCTGTTGACCGGGCAATGGCGTTCACCTCGTGTCGCAATCCATATTCCCGTCGCATTGGAGCTCCACAGAGCTGCCGGGAGCTTCCCCGACCTTGCTGCAGCTCCACGAACGTGTCCATTGCCAGTGGGCCGATCCCAACCTGCGTGGTATAATGCAATTGGGGCCGGACTGCTGTCCCATGCATGAGGCGCCAGCTTCGGACGTGAAGAGAGGCATTTTTCAGCTCACCTTATCCATGTCGCGCGCGGCCAGCTGTTGATAGCTCCAAGCCTTTCCCCAGCCTCCTAATATTAGTCGGGTCGCCTCGCGTCGCCATTGGCCAGAGCTCCTGGATGCCGCAGCCTGAAAAGCATGGCTGCAGGATGGGTCGACGACGATCACGGATCCGCCGGACTATCACGTGCAAAATTGCTCATCGATCGCGGTCCAGCCGATGACCATCGACGCGGACTGGGTGAGTTGTCCGGTCGCTTGCAAGCTCGACGCATGTGAACCGTGGTTCTCAACGGCTGTCCGCATCATCGTCCCCACGGAGAGCGCCCGCGTCTGACATGCAGCACCTGCCGCAGCGACGGTTTCGTGATTGTGGAGAACTCGATGATTGGTGTACTAGAAGGACTCTGTGGGCTGTCAGTGTCACCCAAATGCTATGTAGTCTTGCTTCGACTGGTATCCCATGCACGTCTAACTAGATCGATATCGTATATGTAACAGACATACCCCTCTCGAGGTTTGTTAGCAGAATCCGACTCTTTCTCCGATAACGTGCTTTCCTCTAAGCTCACCAAGACCATGCCAATCCTAACTCGATGTAACTTGGAACCGGAAACCGAGGACAGGCAATCTACAGTCGTTCGATTAGGATAGGCTTCGGTGTGCATGCAGCATACTTGAGTGACGTTGGCAACTCCGAGCTGCGGATCTAGTCGCATTGACGGCGCGCAGTGTGCTTTACAGGAAGAGCTAGGGGACGTACGTGGATTTTGTTATTGATCGGCCTAGAAAAGAAGCAGAGGCGTGTTTTGTTGTCACTGTTCTTCTCTCGCTGCTTTGAGTCCCATCTCGGCTACCAGTATGGGAAAGCACGATTCCACAGTCATGAAGAAGCTACACGCAACCACCTTGGTCCTGCACTAGCACCCATCCCAATTATGCTTCTTATACATTTGCCAACATCTGGTTCGGATGCGTTTCCTTGATGTCTTTTCTAAACCTTGTACAGTTGCCGTCTTCTTTCTGGATGGATATCTGCTGTTCATTATGGCATCCCAGACAATGACATGGATACATCCAAGGTACAAACGACATGAAAGGGCTGTATCACACATGTCGACGTATGCAAATGACCGATGTTCGCCATTATACTCGCGTTGAGAATGCGTTCATGCAAATATGGAATAACGCGCTCCTTCTGATTGTCCAATAAATTGGACATCCATCGACTTTGGACGTAGCAGCTTTCAGTCAGGAAAGAGGTTTTTTCAACAAGGAAACTCACTCAATATGCGTCAGTAGGTGTGTATCGTTAAGTCGTAGCAGAGTAAGTGAACAGGAGACTGTCGTGGTCTGCTTGACTCTAAAACAATTACTAGCGTTCTATTCATCCCATGTATCCTGCATGCGCGTGTTGGTTAGCAACACTGTTCGTCGGGGAACCGACGATGACAAGTTTAGGCCGGAAATTGAGACTTTCCTGTCGGTTCACCCTTACCTTTTCACAGCAACACGAGTCGATGAGCATGCGTCCGTCCGATTACATACAATTTTTCACTCAACCATTCATACCACTTTGGATGTACCGTAGCCACCTCAGTATTCGATATCCATCTGCGGTGCTCTTGATATCGACGTTGCTTGCCGTGTCAGCAAATGCTCGTTTTGTGATTTGTGCAGACAAATCCCACCCGACACTTCCTACCAAACCTCAAGATCGAATTGGCATCGATCATGTTATTATTGCCTTCGCCAAAGCCAACCCTAGAGCTACATTTCAGTCTATGCTCCCTATGCATACGGTTCTCTCCGAGTACCCTCGCGCGGAAGTCTTGATTGCTGTGTGAGGGTAGGGCGATGATATCGGATTCGATCAAGCAACGCATTTTGATGCGTAAACGAAAACGTTCGCTGCCAATGTCGCTACTATGCTTGCCAACACTGAGACTGATCCAGGCAGTGAGTAAATCATCCACCAACATCAGCAAGCCATGTACTGACAAAGGAAGACATCATTTGGGGATATCCTGGCGGTAATGGTGCGGACCACAAAGAAGTACTCAACTCCGAAAAGAATCATCAGATTACTGCGTTTCCTAGGTTTTAGCTCCCATTCGCACCGCGGTTGGAAGTGAGCTTCGATCGCTGTACCAGAGAAGCAAGTCAGTTCATTCCTGCTGGACTACCACAGGCTTTGTAACCTTGGGTACTCTCGACTACTTTCGCAATGCACTGTTCACTAGCCTGAGCTGAATAGCGACAGGTAACATGCTTGGGTACACACAGAAGAGCAGACCTTAGATATAGCTATCTGCTGATTTCATAAATGTAAAAGGTGATTACCCTTTCACTCATCTACCTAACATCTTATCCTCAGCTCAGCCAGGTAATGAGCTACGACCTTATGAACCCCCGCGATGAATTGACCAAGCATCGCGCTTCTGTTGTCAATCTGGAAGTCACAATCGAAAATTACATTGCAATAAGTTCTCGACCCAAGAAGCTCAATCTCTACTTCGTATACCACGCCAAATTCTTCACAACAAAAGGAGACTGCAGTACCAAGCCCCTCCACTGCCCTATTACCGTGGCCGAAAACATCTGGGAACATGGCGCGTTCAAATCTGACACCTGCATCTTCGAAAAATCCCATATGCATCCAGTCAGCACTTCTATGATAACTGTATCTTGGCATAGTATTTGCGGTCCAGAAGAGGAAACAACATGCAGTATATACTGCTCTCAATACGTACGTTGCATTGCCACACTTAAACACTACCACAGCGCCTAACAAAGTGCTTTTGGAGTAGGGCGCACCGATGCCGACCTAGCAGCGTCCTAGTGAGTAGCAGCCAAGCACGGTATTGTCACTGATGAAGTAATTGGCGGACAGTAGTATTCTAATGCTCAGAACCGTCTATTCTGGACTTGGGATACGTCCATAATCGTCACCAGGAATGTTTTACATATCATACGCAAGTGTATGCTTAACAGGATAGTAGCATATAGTTTAGGTGGAGATAGTGCGCATTGGAGTCAAGTAAGGCAGATATCTGGCGAGGTAGCAAAAGGTGGATATCAGTTGGCGACAGACGAGGATTCGAACGCGTCATCCGCTCCATATGTAGATGATCCTGTAGAACCAGCTTTCCTTGTCGCAGAGGTGAGGTATTGGCCATTCTATTGGCACCTGCACCTGGGACCGAAGCTAGCTCAGCACCAGTCCGCCAGACCAGAAACTTCCCCTACCCTCACGAGTTCGTGGGTCATGAGACTGAATTAGATTTAATACCAGACCATGCCGTGATTTGCAACTGCCACGGGTTAGTTCGATACTCTCCACAAGGAGGCCAACCTTGAGCTCGATACAGCATGTCAATATGCCAGCGCTGCCACGCCCGCGACACGAATTAAAGTGACCACCGCCATCCACTCTGAGCCCGCCGCAATCCCCGAGCATAAATCTTTACACACATTAGAATATCTTAGGGTGCAGGAGAGTGAGTATCTCAGCGAATCTTCTCGTGTACGCACACGTGAGAGGGTACATCAGGTATGAGGATACTGCTTTTCCATAGTTGGCCTGGCCGTCAAATTCTGATCCAGGCAACACAAGGACATGGCATTCCTATAGGCATGACGTAGCGTACAATTAATGAATTACTACTCTTTTCCTCGAGACACAAGTGTCTCGCTTTCCCATACTTTACAATCATCTCTCATGCTCCGTTATCCAATACACAAGACACTTTCGTACCCGTTCTAACCCCAACCCATGTTCTCATGCGAAGGACCCTATGCCTTGACAGTACTCCTCTTCATGCCCTTTCTTGCGTTCTTCTCTCTCTCCTTCTCCAAGAACTTGCGCTGCTCATCAGCACTCAGGCGGCCCAATTTGGCATCCCTCTGCTCCTTCTTCAGCTTGTCGGCAGCCAGTTTCCTCTCCTCTGCCTTCTCCTCATCATCCGCCTTCTTGATCTTGGCGATCTGCTCGTCGCGGGTTTGCTTGATGCGACGGAGGGCTTCAGGGCGGAAGTGTGCAGAGGAAGCGAGCTGATCAGGGAGGCGAAGGAAGTACTGGAAGATGGGGAGGGTGGTGGCATAGTCCGAGGCGAACTTGAGAGAGAGATTTAGACGCTTCTTAGGCTTGGTTTCGTCGAGGCTGGGATATGTTAGCTTGGTCCAAAGAGTGAGGTATTGCAATGCTGTCTGACTTACGTCCTGGGGGCGTTGATGGGCTGGTCGCTGACGATGATGGCCTCGAAGTTGTCTCCTGCGTCGTTCACGGCTTTGATAAGCTCAGGGGTGAGCAGCATATCCGTGACTTCAGCGCTCTCACTCATGACCGTGGTCCAAACAGGCAACTTGGCGTGGTCGCGCGTGGTAGTCAGAGACAGGTCGTAGCGCTCGTCGCGCATGCGCTTCATAATGTCCTTGTGTACAATTGCGAAGACGAAGCCATCGAAGGTGCTGTTGGTGACCTTCTTTGACTCACCCTGACCGTATGATGGAGCAAACTTGGTCTCCCGGCCATCGAAGACGTAGGCCGTAGCCTCGAGGCGCTCAGAAGGTGGAGGGAAGCTTTCGAAGAACAGGGGAAGGACGGATTCACCAAGCCATGCGAAAGGGTTGAAGCGCTTGTAGAAGGTCAACTTGAAGTCGACAAAGGCGACGTTCTGGCGTCCGGTAGCGTATGTCTGGTACTCGTCGGCCTTCTTCTCCTTGAGCAGGCTGTCCACGTCTGTAACCTCTCCCTCTCCGCTTGGGCGCGTATGACCGACTTGGGCGAACTCCTGGGACAGGACAGGGGCGTGGGCCTTCATCCATGTCCTGGCCTTGCTGCGGTTGCGCTTGGTGCCCCAGAGGTGGACCGCGATGAGAGCGAAGAGAAAGGGCAGGATGTACATCTCCAGCTTGAAGTCATCCATGCTTGTGCGCTCCCACACACGGTACCATGCCGTGTATGGGCGGCTGTCGCCCAGAGCTGTAGGGGCAGCCTGCGCCGCGCCGGTACCGGTGGTGAAGGACGAGATGGCAGCGGGTGTGGGCTCAGGAGCACCTGCGTAGTCGGCGAAGTCTGGCCATTGTCAGCGCGTGCTGTTGATTTTGTACATACACAAGCTCTGTGACGTCCGATGACACCCTCACGATGGCCCCGCGACTCCCTCTCTTCTCAAGAAACTGTAGCATCGCACCAGGGATCTCGTGTGGTCCCGCATCTCAGGTCGCTGGGCTCGCGATCGCGTATGCAATGCAGTGTACGTACCATCATCACCAACAACTGGAGCCTGTGCAGGCTTTTGCCCACCGAAGAGACCCTTGACGAAGTCTGCCATTGCGTCGATGCTTCACAATGAACAGGTGTACGTGGAGGTTTGGCGGCGCGGGAGGTGGTTTGGAGGATCCATGGATCTCGGCTCGGTTCCTCGTTGGTGGCACTGACCTCATTTTACAGCGACTAGCACGCATGTGGAGGGGCATCTGGGCAGCTACCCCAGAGCTCGATTGCATTGGATTGAACCGAGAATTGGCATGTCTGCTGCATCGCCTGTTTTGAAAGGTTGGAAACAAGACGTGTTCGCACCTCAATATGGACGTAATTGCAAATGGCGGTAAGGAGCTAGCCGTAATCGGACTAATATAACAGTCAAAGGACGGCAGCATCACTCTACAGAAGTAAAGGCAACGAAAAGAGACGGTATTGATTGTTCTATGCGGCCAGACGAAATAGTTGTCATGGAGGGCAAAGGCTTGTTGATTGATTGTACAGATGCAGACGACTCATCCCGGGCCCCTCCTATCCGGATATCATATTCGAGGTGGGAGTTTCTAGTTCTTGCCGAACCAGGTCTTGTGTCCCTAGTCAAAGTTAGTCGTGGGCGTGCTCAGATCAGCCAGGTGCAACTTACAAGGACGAGACGGCCCATCATGTACATGCTGGCACCGAAGCTGCTGAACATGATGACCTTGAATCCGGGAACCATCCACTTTCCACGGGCCTAGAGGAAATCTGTCAGCATGCGTCTCCGATTGTGATGATATCCAGGCGCCACATGTCCAACGCCGGCTTGCGCATCCTCGTGGGCCACGTCATATGCACCCCATTGATCTTCCTCTTCCGCATTCGGTACGCACCTTCTCCCAGGTCCTCAGTCCGTCGTGCTTCTGGAACTCGCGTTGCCAGTAAGGCACTTTGTTCTCGCGCATAACCCAGCTGCTGACTGTCAGTACCGAGCTCTGTGCGGAAAGACGGAGGAGTGTGCGAGGCCACGGCGGCGCGGTACAGAGCCCACGGCCACAGCCACAGCTCCAGGGTGGACGTACCCAGCCATTTTGAAGAGTGTAGATGTGTATTGCGCGGCTTGCGGGGGCAATTGGTGGTTTCGTGGATTGGGCGGTTTCGTGATGTCGCGAGGTCGAACGATCCGCCGGCGAAAGGAAGTCGGCCGCCAAGGCCCTTGTCCGCTTTAGGCGCAACAACTTTCCGCATCTTCAATTCGGGCAGAGACAACTGCGACGCCAATGGACTGATTTCGCCCTTCGCCCCTGTCTCGTTGATGCCGCCGGCCCTGGACAGGCTCCTCGCCAGCCCGTCTGCTCTGCGACTCCTGTGCTCCATCGTCAATGCCCCCGAATTCCCCGCAGCATGTTCGATAGCCACAAATTGCTGCTCTTCAGTAGTAGCCCGCCGCAATTACTCGTACCAGCCCAAGTCTCAGTCCAAGCTACAATGGAGGCGAATGGCAGATGCCCGCAAGGAAGCAGAAGTCCGAGGCCAAGTGCGAGCAGCACTCGAGAATGACGATGCCAACGATACCCCCGTACCGACCATTGATGTCTTTGACAACGACGTCATACGTGTAGCAAGAGGAGACGACGATCCCAGACAACTCGCTGTCGTGCTCGCAAGCGAAGAGAGACGGCATGGGGCCAAGGGCGTCCGCAATGTCTGGCGAAACATTCGTCATCGAGGGTACCGCCTGCCTACAGAAGACACCCCAGATGCCGAATTTCTATGGGGGACTTTTGTCAGGAACCATTTGCTCACAGGCAAAGCGATCGAGCACGCTGAAGAGCTGCTCCATGAGACAGGCAAAACATACCCTCATCTCTACCGTCTGGTCATGAGCCACTGGCTTCCGAGGAGAGCACAGACAGCGTTGAGATACCATTACACGCTGCAGAGGAACCTGAAACCCCAGCGGCTTCCCTTACGGCAGTTGGCACATTTGGGACGATCGACTTTCAAGCACGCTGCATACGAAGCCCTCAAGGAAATATACGAACACAGCAACGAGCGAGACCTCTACGACGATGTGGTACCTGTCTTCATCGAGAAGGGAGATATCACCGCCGCACGCCAATGGCATGCGCTTTGCACTCTTCGTAATGATATGCCGTCAGAGTCTGTCGCGTTGCACCCTGTCGTTCGGCTGTTCATCGTCGAGGCATCAGCTGGTGATGTCTACTTTGAGACAAAAGGAGCGACGAAGAAATGGAAGCGGGATCCAGCCAGGTACAACGAGACTCTTCTGCGACGCTTGGAAGGCCCCGACACCGCACCTGTTCGATTCGAAGACTCGTTTGTCGCTCGTATGTTCGCAACCCGCACTTTTCCAGCGGCCTCCATTATACAAGGGCTCTCTATGGTGGGAGTGAACGAGATTGGACCTCAGGCTGTCCTCACCATGGCACTACAAACGCAGCAGGTCGAGGAGCTACCTAAGAGATTTGAAGAGCTCCGGTCAGCAGGTATTGCCTTACAGGGCTGCGTCTTCTCCCTAGCATTGGAGAAATTCGTAATGGAGCAGAAATGGCAGTTGGTGCGCAGTATGTTGACAAGCGACCAGCATCCAGATGTCTTCGGCGACGCCAAAGTACAACGCAAGCTGCTCGGATACTATCTTGATAACAACGACTATGCCCAAGTTCAGCGCACGCTTGCCATTCTGACGCTCTTCCACAATGATGCCAGCCAAGAGTCCTGGAACCTTCTCTTGCAGGCCTATGTCAAACGTTCTGGGCCAACACATATCATGGAAGTGCTCCAAGACATGCGAGCACGTGGCATTATGTTGACAGCCGAATCAATCGTGGCCATCCGTAGTCTACTACGCCGCCGGCAACCAGGACGCAAACCCGTCGGCAATCGTTTCGACGACTTGCGTTTTGTCACACGAGTATTTGTAATGATTCTCGAGAACGGTTTAGGTGTCGTTTCTCCGCTACAATGGCGTGAGATCATCCGCAGATATGGCATGACCGGCAGACTAAGAGAGCTTAGGCGAGTTCTCATCTGGCTTCTCTGTTGGTATGCGCCGAGGAGCAGTCATCAATTCAACCACTTGCCAAAGTCATCATTCTTGGAATCGGCCACAGCAAAATTGCGCGCTGCCCATCCCGAGCGTGGCCACTGGTTTCACTTTCCAGCGATGGTAACACAGATCAACTCGTCGCATCCTGTTCGTCAGCTATTCCCTCCATCCCTACAGCAAGGTCTTATTGTATGGGGCTTCAAAGCTGGGCTCCTGCCAAACGCTCATCTAGAACAGTCCATACTTCAGTCTGCGCTTGCTAAAAAACACTATCGTCGTCGGTTACTTGAGCACGGGACTTTGCGTCAGTTGGAGTGGAGTATAGGCTTGCGAATTGTGGTGCTGCTACGGGATCTTGGCGTCTTCGTTCACTACCACACAGTTCTCAAGGCCCTGCAAATGCAGTTTGTCAACATGTTTGGTCACGGCCGGTCGAACCGGAAAGAAAACAGGGTGATGGAGAGAGCTAACACGCTTCCCTACGCTAGATACGTCGATGAGGTCAACAAGATATGGGGCAGTCCGCTATTGAGAGAGCCTCAGCTTTTCAGCAAAGGTATGGTGCATGACCACATGTGGCACCCACGCATGAGGCGGACTACCAAACGCAGAGCCTCCGTCGGTCTTGGTGAGATTCTGGGCTCAAAGTATACGGATCGCGGCAATGAAGGGCGTAGCCCTACAGAGGAGGATGATGCCGCCGCTCTTGAACAGCTACAGAAGCACTTCGACGCGCAGGCTCAGGCCATGGAATCCGTATCTGAACCACAACCTCAATCTACGGTAATTGGCGACGCGTTCAATGCGGCAGCAGGGACGGGCGACAGAACCCTACACTCACCAATAATCATGGATAACGACCTCAAGGCATAGCCTCGCCACGTTACTTGGAGAATATATACAGCAACCCCTCCGATCCCGGGGTTGAGCTAGTGCATTTAATGATATAAACGCTTGACTTACATGCTGCTTTCAATGCAAGGATTTTGTCTCGATTTGTTTTTACAGTCATCTGAAGTGTGAAGGTCCAGATGATGAACCTCATCTACAAGACGCTTTGCGAATTTGTATCTGGCTTGGAGCAAATGAATCCAGTCGCATAGCACTAAGCTTCGAGGCTCTCTGCAGTAGCAAAAATGCTGGCAAAAAGTAGATCGCGTGGCTGGACCCAGTGCAAAAGCCTTGGTTCTCACGGCGATGAGTCGTTCAAGAATTAGTGCTAGCAAGAAGGCCCATCACTTGCTGCGGGAAGGAGAAGACACTTTAGAATTCGCTCTTATGCGACACTTCCCTGCTGACCCCTTCACCTTCTTTCCCACCACCGCTTCCGGCCAGCCTGACTGCGATAGTGGGCTTGTGCACCAGCGTCTGCAGCACAACACAATATCTCTCCGTCAGCTTGCCCAACTTTTCCACTTCTTCCTCGCTGACCTCTCTACCGTCTTCTCTCTCACCGAACTTGACCGCAAACTCTAGCCGAATGCCGGTCATGCCAACGGGTGCCGTTCTGTCCACGCCTAGTGTGCCCTTGAAGTCTAGGTCCCCTTCTGCAGTGACGGTACCGGATGCGATTGGAATGCCGAGTGCGGTGGCTACAGCCTTTAGAGTAACGCCCGAGCAGGCTACGAGGGCATCGAGTAACATGTCTCCAGAACAGAGTTCCCCAGAGATGGCTGGGTCGTCGCCGCCAGCCTTTTGATGCAGGCCGGCTACTCTATGTGCTTCCTTCACAGCAGGACCGTCGGATAGCTTGCATGTTATTGAATGATCGTCGAGAGAACCAGTAGATTTTAGGGTGACAACGGCGGAGGAGGGGTCGCTACGGTAGCCGTCTTTAATTGGGGCTTGCTTCTGGCGGAGCGCTTGAGCGGCGGACATGGTTGCCTTATGTCGAACGTGAGACTGGGAGTGAAGGATGGCTAAGTCCTGTGTCTACTGTAAGATGAGCGAGATTTTAATCAAAGCACATATTTTAAAAGTCAAGGTCAGCCTATACATCATTATGAAGCATACCCCGCAAGGGGCAGGTCGAAGCTCCGCAGCCCCGCTTCGCCGCTGGTGCGAACGATCAAACAGGAAGGAGGGGACGCTCGATCAAGACGTTGGCTCAAAGTGCCATGTCAAGGAATTAAAAATCACGTGCTGATGAGCGTGTTTGAGTTGAATGAGGTGAAGAAGAAATGGCGCGGTCTGCTCAGATTAAAAGTATCACTAGACACGTGCAACTTCGCGATAAGCGACGCGCCTGCGGCACGCGTCTTCCGACCAGGTCAACGTCATTTCTCGTCACGAATCTCGACAGCACAGTCTACATAACCCGAAATGGGAATGAAAACAGCTGCCTTTGTAGGAAGTACCTACCACCGACACATCAGTCCTCGAGGAATTTCTACGGCAAAATGTACCTACCTGACTAAGATCCGATTTGAGGTGGTTGGTGACTGTCGCATTGTACTAGGGGGCCTGGGAAGTATATTGAAGTACCTTATGCACATCTTCCACAAAGCTACACAGACCAACAGAACCTGGGTACGGAAGAAAAAGCCCAAGTGCAACGCAGCTCCAAGTAGTGCGGCCGTTAGGGATCTGATTATAGAAGAAGATTGAAGTGTCATTCAGTTCCATCTCTTCATCTTTAATGATGAAGGCTTACACAGTTTGACATCTTAGCTAAGTACTACTCCATCTGCCATGTGAATAGACACCTGGAGCAACTAGCATTCAGAAAGATCGGAATCGGATGCGCCATGTGCATATCGCCGAATGGCCTTGCCTACTTGATATTCACAATTGGTCCCAGCAGCAATCGACAGACTTGATCTTGTCCTGTTTCATTGTCAGTTAGAAAAACTATATCGAGATTTGGCACATGCCAACAATACTCACGTTGCAGCCAATGGTCGCAGGATTGGTCGCAAGATTGCCAACCGAGCCGTGGAGGAAGAGGGATCTAGCCGTGGGTTCACAGTGACCAGTACTAGTTCGAATCAGTGTCGCATCACTAATAGATCTACTAGGTCAGACGCGCCTGTAGAAGAAGCAATAAAACTTCCGCCCATGGTTAGGCGCACCGTCGGGGCAAACGTCGAAGCGAATTGAGGATGGCTCGATAGTGACTCTATCGTGTATTAGTGATTGTAGATTGAACTTAGTAAGTGTCCATACTCGTCTTTTGTGTTTAACAAGGTCATGCAACTGTTCATGCCATCCCTGCAGTGGTAGGCCGTCACGACACTGCCTTTGTAGTTGGTGTGCTGGTAGAAATGAACCTGTGATGGTTAGAGAAACGGGCGAAAGCTGATAACGCGTACATACATTAGACGCACCACGATCCCAATCTGCGACGTTAACGTCGGTAGCGTCTCTTGCGTTGTGGGCACTGGACTCAGTAACCGGCGCACGCGCAGGCATGATCACGTTGCTGAGATCAACGACCGCCGGCTCATCACCGAGCTCGATCGTAGTGCCATCAATCTTGTTGAGAGTAAGAGCCGCTACAGCCGAAAGAAAAGTTATGAGGAGAATGAAGAGACGCATATTTGCTGGATGAAGGTCCTGTTGTGGTTGTGGTTTGATGGATAAACCTGGAAGGCAGTGGGTTCGAGTTCGAGTTGTTCGTGAGAGGACTTCGGAATGAGGACAATGATGGAGGTACAGTAGTACAAACAGAACAACTATAAGTGAAGGAGGGTTGTCCGGTGAGTGAGCGTTTGCCTAGAATGACCACACAGCGACGTACACAGAAAAGGCCAAAATCCCAGGAGCGCTGACGAGTAGACCATGAATCCGCTCGCTTGAGGGATCCATTATCCTGCAAGTGTGTATGAACCATTGGACACCGTCTTACTTTGTAGAGCGATGAGTTTCTGCCTCATTGGTGCGAGAAGTGAGCAACGAAAGTCGCTTCATCAGTAAGAGCTGGAGGCGCCTAGTCAAGCGATGGGCGCTAAGGCTTAATTCGGTGTTGAAATCTTATTGGCGGCCTCACACCACCTATACGTGTAGGCAGTGATCATACTTAGTAATATCAAAACTCGCAACCTCGGCAAAAGACTTTCACCATGACGATACATCCGTCAAGGACTTGTAATCTGCTTACCGTTCTCCCTCAACCTCCATGGAGACAGCCTCTGGATTGGGACCTTAGGATGACCTGGGAATGCGAAAAACGTGTATTCTTCCCGGCATACGTGAAGCAGCATGACACTAGTAACCCGTCGCAACGCTCGCTCGGTAGCTTCCCCCATTTCCAAAGGCTTCCTGCCGAGCTACAGGTTCGCATTCTTTCTTGCTGTCCAGCGTCAACCCTATGGCAGCTCATGCGTGTATCTTCCACGCTACGCATCGAATCTTCGAAACTGTTCTGGGCAAGCCCAAGCGCCTCGTTCCTCCTATCTGCTGACTGGCTATTGGGAGGTGGCTACGCTGGACGTACTTATCACGACCTTTCATTCCTTCGCCACGTACAGAACGTAGAGATTGAATGCCACTGTCTGTACGATGAGCTTTGGCCAGAACACAAGGCGAATGATCCGTTCTGCCCTGAAGACGCACGGCAAGATGTGGTGGGTATCATGTGGACTACTTTGAGGAAGACATGTCCAACGATTAAGAGCGTGGTGTTCAACCACCAGAAGATAATGTCCTCAATAGAGTTAGAGGGAGCGGGAAATGTGCCGGAATGCTTGAAAGCGTTAATACAAGCTTGTCCGAGGAACATCGTTGCAGAAGTATCCACCGTGGAAGAGAGAGAAGGACGTTATTGGAACAATGGCACCTACAGCGATTTCTACAACGTAGAATGCAGGAGAGCACACTATCGGCCTCTGCAGGGTGGAGGCTGGGAGGAACTCGTGTCGAAAGCCAAGCAGGACGCAGTGCTGGTGCCTGGACGACGATTTCGTGGAATAGTCGGGCAGTTTGAGAAAAGTTACTTCCTTTTTAGGAGAAGGGTCCTCCAGGAACGTGCATTCTGGCCCCTTGTTATCGAAGCTTTGGATCGATACCACTTCGATGATGGAAGGAATAATGCTTTCCAGTGTCCAAACGTAGACTGTGGTTCAGTATTTACGAAACCAGGTGAATGGACAATACATGCAGCAACTACAAAACACGGTTGGGCCAAAGTAGAGGATGGTTTATTCGACATACTACCCCCAGAATTGAGAGCTGTATTTGAGACCAAGTTCAATCTGATAGAGGCCAAGCAACAAGCATCGGAGGAGGAGTCTACTAAGATGTCTAGGGATTGGAACGAAGAAGGGGAGGAGAGGAGAAAAGAGATGGAACAAGAGTTCCTTCAACAACTAGAGAACGATGCAGATTGGGCGACAGGGGAGCAGGCAGTGGATCATCAGATCTGGAAAAACTTTATCAGGGTGATGCATCCGGAATGGAATGGATTGTAATGCTGACCCATATGGATGTGCATGGCAATGTGCCAGGGACGCGACGTATCCACAAAGGACGGGATCTGCTACAGACTGAAGCATGCGGGTACCTTGCTGCAGAGGCGGTGTATTCTGCCGCCGGGATACCATCTAGAGTGCACAGGACAAACCATCGGTCGGTTTCGACTGGGCAGTTCAAAGGGTCGCATCTTGGTGGTCGGACGATGCAGGTTTCTGTGCATCTTTTGGAGTCGCATAGATGTATTGTTGATTATATACGATCAGTAATCCCATGTATACACATCAGCAGGTTTTGCAAGATCTGGCAATGGGTTTACTCAACAGACTGTCAACGGTACCTTACTCCACATTGAATGGGTCCATACTTGAGCGCATGTGCCGAATTAGTCGGTCGGACACCGACTCTGCAGTCTCGAAGCATCGGGCCGTAAAAATCCTCGCTCCTCGTGCGCTACTGGATGCGTTCGTCTGCAAATTTTGAGCCTCATCCCGCGCAGAAGTCGACTCGAAGCACGCGTGGGCCATTCGGAGCCACCGCGGCTGTACAGAACAGGCAAACCGACCGCCACTATAGCGTGATGTCGCGTGCGCTCCGTTTTAAAAGTCAGCAACTGGCATGCCCCACGTGCTGAAGTCGGGGGAGGTCGGAGGTGGATCGAGAAATCGGTGGTGGAGAGGCCGCGGAGGGCTGAGTCGTGCCATGGGGCGAGGCGCGAGGCGCGACAGCAAGGCGTTCAGCGTTCGAGACGGGAGCCGGCCTGACGTCATGGGTGGCCGTCTAAACTTCGATAAACAGGCTAAGACGCGTGGCGCAGCTTGGCAAGAGCGATCAGCACAGCTTGGTGTGCCTTCTTTGATGCTTGGAAGAAGGGCGGGGGCTTATGTTGGAGGCTTAAAAGCCAAGTTGTGCTGTCGCGAACGCTTCATGCCATGGGGACATGCCCTTGGAAAACATGCAATGGAATCGCGGATGACGTAGCGCGACAGGTCGCATATGGTAGCGAGTGAAGGACGGCAACACAACCCGCGCCTCTTGTTGGAAACGTCTTCGCTTCAACCAACGTCTGTTTAGCATTCGACCCATTTTTAATGCTACATTGCCTAGTCTAAGAGGTCTGGGGCCAATCTCCAACGGCCTCCAGCACGAACGCGCCATAGCGCCAAAGCCCTGTCAGCGTGAAAGATGCGATATGACGTCTCGAGGATTCGAGCGCGTGCCCTGTGATGCGCACAGTATGCACTGCATGCTTTGGAGCGTGCACCTCCGCCTCCACATGCACTGCACTGTGTTATAAGCTGTTTCCTCCGCCTGTGTGACGTCTGGATTTTCTCATTCAACCCCAGCTTCCTGGATCCGGTCCCCGCAACTAGTCCCCCAGGTTGACCACTCTCAACCGATCACTGCCCAAGCGCATTGTTGTCGACAACATGGCTTCCGCGGCAGAAATTAGGCCTGACATCCACGATGCAGACACTGTCAGCAAGAACGAGGCTGGCGACGCCGAAAAGAAGAGCGCTTCTGACGGCGACCACCATCACGCTGAGAATCCTACCGATCATGCGCTTACTGCTGCCGACAAAGAACACTACGAGAAGTACGGCACCTACGACCGCTATGAAATCACCGAGGAAGACTGTTACGACGAGCTTGGCTTTTGCTTTCCAACATGGAAGAAGTGGACCATTCTTAGCATCGTCTTCATGGTCCAGGTCAGCATGAACTTCAACACGTCGTTGTACAGCAACGCTGTGACGGGTATTTCAGAGGAGTTCAGCGTCAGTGCCCAGGCGGCGCGTCTGGGTGCGGCTCTCTTCCTCATCGCCTACGCGTTCGGTTGTGAGCTCTGGGCGCCTTGGAGTGAAGAGCTAGGACGATGGCCTATCCTCCAGCTCAGTCTGTTTTTTGTCAACATATGGCAAATTCCTGTGGGCATCGCGCCCAACTTTGGGACCATTCTTGCGTTTCGTACGCTCGGTGGTCTCTCCACTGCCGGTGGTTCCGTAACTCTTGCTATGGTGGCTGACATGTGGGAACCGTGAGTACACCACACATTCTGTGCGTTATCTTGCTAACAATTTCAGTGACAATCAACAATACGCCGTCGCTTTCATCGTCTTCTCCTCCGTCGGTGGTTCCGTACTAGGCCCCATTGTGGGCGGTTTCGTCGAACAGTTTCTCGCTTGGAGGTGGAATATCTGGATTCAGTTAATATTTGGTGGCGCCGTCCAAATTGCTCACGCCATCTTCGTCCCCGAGACCCGTACAACAGTCCTCATGGACCGCATTGCCAAGAAGCGCCGTACAGAAGGCGAAAAGAGCGGCAAGCCAAACAACATTTGGGGACCCAACGAGCTCAAGACGTTCAAAGAGCGCTTCAGTGTACACGAGATTCTCGTTACCTGGGTGCGTCCGTTCCGCATGTTCGTTACGGAACCCATTGTGCTCGTCCTCTCCCTACTTTCCGGTTTCTCTGATGCCATCATCTTCATGTTCTTGCAGTCTTATGCGCTTGTGTACGCTCAGTGGGACTTTGCACCCTTCGCCATTGGACTGACTTTCGTCGCCATCGGCATTGGCTACTTCATCGCCTGGTTCTCCTTTTTCCCAGCCATCAAGCGTAACGAGCGCCTCCGTCGTGATCATCCCGACGATGAGCGCTCCCAATACGAGGCCCGCCTCTGGTGGTTGCTGTACACTGCTCCATGCCTTCCTATCGGCCTTATCATCTTCGCTTGGACGAGCACTGGCCCGCCAATTCACTGGATGGGATCTCTAGTCGGATCAGCAATCATTGGAATAGCCAACTACGCCATCTACATGGCCACTATTGACTACATGATCTGCGCCTATGGTCCATACTCAGCGTCGGCGACTGGTGGTAACGGCTGGGCTCGTGATTTCCTCGCTGGTGTCCTCACGCTCCCCGCCACACCATTCTTCCAGAACATCGGCGGAGATCTGCATCTCGCATATGCCTCAACCATTCTCTTCGGTATATCTCTCCTTCTAGTAGTCTCGGTCTATGTTATCTACTGGAAGGGCCCTGAACTCAGGAAGCGCAGTCCTTTTGCCCAGCAACTCAGTGCTGCTCGCGACGAGACCGGTGGTCGTCGCGTCAGCAGCCTTCCAGGCATGTACGGTTCTCGCGCAAACTCTTTGGCACAACAAGGAGGCTCGATGCCCACTTCTCGCAGGGGCAGTGTAGTGCGTGGCGTTCCGGGAGGTGAAAACAGATACGAGATGCACCGCAAACAGAGTGCGCGCAGCACTGGAGTTGCTTAAGCACTGTCTTCGTTTCTCACCTATGTGCAGACGATTAGCCTAACAGAATCTTAATGTTCATGAATTAATCGTGTTTTGTGCTAGAGTGAGGGTGACGAAGCACGGCCCAGCGTTTGATTTCCATACCGGTTGTTACATAATCAGATCCGCCCTAGCCTTTTAAGCGTTGTGGTAACACCTTTTGCAACATCTCCGCACGACTTTCTTGCAAGTAAAAAATAATCGCGATCACTATTTCGTGACTTGTTCCTCGATTGTGATAATGAGGCGGCCGATACGACGGCCTGCACACCCTTTCCGCGTGTAGCAATAGGCGCCTGCTGCAAAGACCACAATCCGGCCTAGCACGTCTATGTTGAAGCACAACAAACGTAACGCCATATCGCAAGTATTCTCTTTCGATGTAGAAATTGGCGTTTGGCGAGGAAATCTCGTATTCTCCATCTTGACATCATACGACTGCGTTCGGCACTGTCTTTGGAGTTACTTCCTCTGGGTTCGCGAGTGCGTCTGCAACACCTATGACAGGAAGTCCATCCTCTTCAGCGGTACCCTTCTTTGAAAAGAAGTGCCTAACCTTCTCCTCAATATCAATACCCTTGGCCTGCCATTCGACTCCCTCTTCGAACTCATCGAAAGTTTCTCCGGCTTCTTTTGCGCGCTTACGGATCCCACGAGTTCGGATTAACCAAATCATGTGTGAAGCAACCATGCTCATCTCGATCGCGCAGCTACACGCCATTAGTCTTCTTTCCGAATGGTTGTTCCCTATACTAGCACATACCATAGTGCGTACATCGTGCCAAAGAGCACATCAAACTCGTTCTGGGTTACCAGAGCCATCAGAGAGAAGAATGCGCCGTTCCAGTCGATGGCCAAGAATATGAAATCAATACCCACAACGCGACCTCGTCTTTTGAGCAGCTCAAATGGGATAGGCATATAACCTGCGATAAGGGTGAGGAAAGCGACAATGCCAATCAATAGGACTGGCCATTCTAGACCTCTCGAGTATGGCTCTCGAATAGCATATACAAGCCCAGTTTCTATCCCTGCAAAGCAAATCAGAAGCGACAATAGCAGGAGCGAGGCTGTCCAGGTCCGCCATTTCCTAGTTTCTGTCAGTTTTGCATTTTCGAAAGGCATGACCGTCTTAGTACCGGAACTTACCTGCTATATACAAGACACTGCGCCCAACTCACACCGCACAACACACAGAAGCACTGCGGTTGGACGATGAGGGGGATGTTGAATTGCTGTGTAATGGCATACACACCAAAGGGTACACCGCTGATAGACCATAGAAGCATCATGGACTCAGGTAGTCCCACAGTAGACTTGGTTCTCCAGTTTCTGTATATCTGAGGTACCAATTGGACGCACCAACATATTGTGCCAATGGTGCCAAGCACGTTGGCTGCTGGAGGTATCGAAGTTTGCGGCGCCATAGTGGTAGAAACAGGTTGCGAGGAAAGCAGCGACCTAGTAATGCAATTACCGAGGGTGCGTGTATTGAAGGTATCCCGTAGCTGATATGAGAGGTATAACGTCTTACAACCATCGGTGGCGAACTAGCACGTTGAAATATTGGGCCACTGCTTAGCCCTCAGCCTATCCGATGACAGTGCGAATTCGAAGCGCCTCATCTACCGAATCGCCTATGAGCACATTTTAGCAAAACTCTTCGACCGCCGGCTTGTTCTCCGCTCTATCTGTGAATGATAATTGCATACCTATGACTGGTGGTTTCGGCGTTCGCTTGGTTCCGTGCCATGGGTAGAAGCTAGCACGCTACACGAGTCTGGTAGTAAAATAGCACGCCGTGCATGCCGTGCTGATCACTTTCTCCACTATTCTCTTCGATTGGTAACCCAAATAGTAAACTCTCGGTATGCTACCCGAGTAGCTATTGACGCCCGCGGAACGCTTACTTAGACGAACTCCTGGCTATTTGAACAATGAATGTAGTGATTGACTTGACTCAAGAAGGCCCTTGAGATATCGTATTGCTGTTCTATCAGCGCCTTTATTTCATGAGCTATGTATATGCTTTTCCAGACTGCAGCTCCCAATACGTGTGCAGTGGCTCGTGAAGTTGTCGGCAGATAATCAACAGGGCAAGTCCAACGCACCTAAATTCGTATTGAAGGAACAGATTTGTTAGCTCTAATCGAATCCACAACGTGATGTGAGTAGGCAGGGTAGACACTTCTATCGTTGTACAATCACCTGCTATTACGGTTGCTTCCTGGGTACTTTCATGTTTGTTTTTCTTTTGTAGAAATTCGCCAATACGTGAAATATCATCCTGCATCACTTATAATTACGGATTCACTGTAACAGTAAGCGATGATAGTCCCATCTGGACCAACAAAGAAAAAGTGAAGGAGACGAGTGCATTCAGTTATATATGATTGCGTACGCAGCTTTTCTAAAGGCCTATAATCTATTGCTCTCTACCTTTGTAAGGGGAGCAACCCTCTCTGTCATCGGCATATGGTCAACACTCCAATACAATACACTTGTAATCTTCTTCCTCGTAAATCTTGAGTACTAAAGCGAAGTCGAGCCGAACCTTGCCTAGGAGAATTTTGCCCAACAAGCACAATGGTCTTCTAAGGCAGCTGAGCACTCCCTTCCAAGATAGCCACACCAGCCCGCCTTGCCGACTTCTTATCTCTTCCCGCCAAGTCACAGAGCAAGATGCGCAAACGTATTCTTGCCGCTGCCCCCAAGGAGTCTAATCCGATAATTCTGCACCATACGCCGGGCTTCGCTTCTCTTGCAAGCAATTTGCCTCCAAGTTTAAGTACGAGTGAGCTAAGGACTATAAGTTTTGTCTCCAGTAGCTTCGAGAGGTATAAGCCTTTGGGTGTTAACCACCACGAAGTATTCCCACGCAGTCCGTCTTCTTATCGTTGTTTTGGTAATAAGCCAACGGTCCAAACCGTTTCCCTCGCCATCCAATATTCGGCATTAGTGGAATGAAGAATTTCTACACGATGAGGCCTCCATATCCGGCATGTGATCTCATAGCCATGCGGCAAGACATCTGACACAATCGCCTCGCGTGTTGACTTCCAGACGCAGAAAATGCTTGTTCTCCCCACCGTTCCACCATAGCAACCTGTCATATTGATTCTTCCAGCTCCTTGGACGATCTTCTTCTTGAGATATCGAGAAACGAGGCGGAAGATTTCTAAGGTTGCCAAGCGAGGATACAACTATGAAAAACTTTGTGGCGCATTCGGTGAGCGAACCCAGTCGTCTCGATCGTGACGAGTCATCTTGTATTTCCTATCGGACGTATTAGAGTATAGGCACCAGCACGACACAGCTGGGCACACGCAGGAGGCGGTGCGAAGATGAACATCAGCCCACCTGCTGATACCAAAACAAGAAGTGGATGGATCAGCTGAGAGCGGCCAATAGTGCAGCTAGACATAAACATTTACGGTCGAGAAGATAGTGAATCTAGAACTGTTAATCTTCCGTTCAGTGAAACTTTACGGCTGCCAAAGATTGGTTGTTATATGTCCTGGTATTTCTTTGGTGAAAACTTTGCTGTTGCATACCAACGAATGTAAGCCGAGGTTCGTGATGTAGTATTAAACAAGATATTCTCAAACTATCTCGAACCGTGTTCATAGCGGAGAATACGTGCATGGACCTGATGTTATGTCTTAATGAAGGGAAAGATCATTTCGCCGATTATGTAAGATACATTCAGCGCTAGCAGAGTGCTGCCGATCTTGACATACGTCACCTCTTCCGCACTCTCGGTGCCAGTGACGATCAAAGCACAGAGTACGAGATGGGCTGCTCTGTCGCCCGTCTACATATTGCTTTTCTGGCAGCTGAACCGCAGTCACACTCATTCGTACTAGCAAGTTGTTGATACTTGATTTTGCGACTGCCTTTTTCCACGCAATGACAATAAATGTGACTGATAATTGGCGCGCTCGGCCGGAGGCGCAATGGAGCATGAAAACCACCGAGCTCCGCAACCTTAAACCACGCACAGAGATGGTTTTGGCTGATGTTGAGGAGAAGCAAACCAAAGCCACCACGTCTCAAGTATGGCTCATCCAATCAGCACAGGCGGGCAGGGCGCCCGACTCCTATTGACGACACAAGCAACGTCATCAAGTGCTGCTCGCTGCTCGAAGCATCTCAAGCGATCCAATTCAACTGTGCCATACACATTGTTCATGTTGGCATGTATCCTGTGGCGCAGCCTTTGAATGTCACCAGAATCGCAACGCCTATCAGCGCGTAGCACAAACGTACACGGGCCCCAAGCGACGCCGGATATCTCCATCCTGAACTTTGTGGGGTAGCGTAATTGGCTCCGCGATTTCCCCAGTAGTGCAAGCCACCGACCAGTGCAAGCAGCGAAATTTTCTTGATAGTCCCCAGGGCTCTACCTGACATCTCGCTATGCATTCCACGCCATCCGCACCGAATGCCTCCTAAGAGTCCTCATGGGCGACAAGTTCGCTGCACCTCCAGGTTTTACTGCTTGGGGACCATTTGTCCGCGACAATTATACTCCCATACTTGTGACCCGCACCGATATAGCCTTAGCAGCTGCAGCGTTTGGTTTGGCCAACTTCTTCGCCATAACCGCAGCTTTCATCGGCGTTAGACAGACAAAATCATGTCGGCGCCCAAAGACTAGCGCATATATCTGGATGATCTGGCTGGAGATTGCTGCCTCGGTGGCTATCTCTATCGAGTGTCTGTTGTATTTGTTGAGGATTATAAGGCCTAGCTTTTACTTCTTCATGTCTGTCTGCAAGTATACCACGGCCCGAGCATCTGTACTTGACTGACATCAGCAGTGCTATGCTGGGTCATTCAGATTCAGCTGCTTCCTCAAATTATCATTAATCGTATTCGTATCATCCTCCAAGACCGGGTACGAGGACGACGTCTCATAATAGGCACCGCAATCTATGTGACTTTGATCAATATCAGCGTTTTCATAATCTGGATACCCGCACGACTTCAGATCAGCCCAAGGTGAATTCTATGGTTCAAGTTTCACGATATCCGCTGATAATGGCAGATGGGTTCATATCAACGCTATCTGGGACCGCACCGAAAAAGTGCTGTTTCTTCTCCTCGACGCGTATCTTAATTGGTACTTCATCCGCGTTGTAAATGCGGATCTGGTCAAGAATGGCCTGACCAAGTACAACCGCTTGGTCCGTTTTAACAAGCGTATCATCGTTGTCTCTCTCCTTCTAGACGTTATGATCATTGGTGCGATGAGTATCCCGAACGGATTTGTGTAAGTCTAGCGCATGCCTGAGCCTCTCAGATCCAGTTCCGCTGACCCTTGAAGCTACGCTATGTTTCACCCGCTCGCATACTTAGTCAAGCTCAACATCGAGATGTCTATGGCGCATCTCATCAAAACCATCGCCTTGGGCCATCCGCACCCTAACAATGACCCTTCACTACTATTGACCTTCTCATCTTCACCTGGCGAAGACATGTTCAGCACCAACATCTTTGCAGAAGCGCCGCGGCAGCGACATTCGCTCATACGGGGTCTATTTGGTAGCGAGCACATCGTCTTTTCGCAAGAAGACGTTCGCACCAGGGTTCCTGGACATAGTTCTACACGCAGTGCATCAATACCTGACTACGAACTGCCGCCTTGGAAATCTAAAGTCGACAAGGAACCCGACAACGTCGCTAGCGATAACCTCAGTGCTGGTGAAGGCAGGAAAAGCAGCAATGCCTGTGAAAATTGCTGGCGCTGGGACAGTGGCGTCTCAAGCAACACTAGAAATCTGGAAGGGGTAGATGATATCTCCACGCCAGAGGCCGCCCACCTACCTGCTCATCGTCGTATGTCAGAGCTAGGCTGAATTTCGCTAGCGAGGTACGATGTCGTCGAGATGAAACTACTCAAGGATCTGACGACACTTCTGCGCCTTTTCTCTCCGCCACTAATGGCGGGTTTCCGTGCACCAAACGCCAGTAAACACTCAGGGGTAGCATAGGCTCAGTGTCCTTGACGACCCTACCGGTAATTGCACGAGCTGGCGTCAGGACATGACTCCGAAATCGACTGGCTCATGATGCGAACCTCATTACCCCAACAATGAGCACCTTTGCACGCAATCGCTCGTCATACAAGAGACACCAGGCTTCATATAAGAAAGTCATGTTACACAGCGGTGCTGCATCGGACGAGTTAAGACAGTCGTTGTCCAGGAGCCCGTTCCGCACGAAATTTGGACTCCACAATGATGTCAAAGAACGACGCAAAAGCGTGCTGTGCTTGCATCCAAGCACTCTCACCTGCCATGAGTGTGCAAGCTGCTACCAGAAATCACACCGTTCACTTTCAATCTAGCATGGAAGCTAAATGTGCTATTGCGGAATTACTTGACCAGAGTGCAACGAATTTGGCCCTCATCGTTGTCAAGGTCCCATCTCTGTCTGAGACCTAACCAACACAAAATTCTTGTTCAGTGTGAATTATTGGTCATGTAACGACACTCCACACGTGCTACGGGCGGCTGCTCGGTCGTACACTCTCAGGGCGACGGTGTCCGCTGTAGTTCTCACAGACTATTGATACAGAATGCAACAACATATATGTGCCGCAATACTCCTAGCTTAGAGTGTCACTTAGCAAGCCAGCCAGTTAGATATACGTACTACTCAAAGTCGGCGGTACAAGCGTTGTAGCCAATCAATATTGTGCAACGAGCATGATGCGAGAGGAAACCGATGCGTGGTATGCACAGCCAAAGATCGAAGTCAATCGACTAAAAGAGAAAACCTTCCCGTCTGGTGCTCTGTACCTTTCCCAGTGCCACGCTGTCGCCTGGTACCACGCAGGCAGCGCGCAAGTATCATGATGTGACGAAGACGTGCGATGTCTGAATTTCTGTATATATTCTAGCATAGCTCTACCGCACTACGCTGCTTGATACTTTGATACATGCACCTTCAGCTTCCAGAAGTCACTTTTACAGATAGAGAAACTATACCGACGTTTCCTACATACACAGCAAGTTCTCGAGATGAAGTGCCCGTTCTGTTTCATTGTCTTTATCGCCTTCGTCACAGCCAAAGATATCCGAGACGAGACACCATCTGAACTTGACAACGAGGATCCATACGCTACGTCACTTTTGTGTAAGTGGCCAAAATCTACTGAATAAAATAGTAGAATCTGACAACTCTAGACTCGGTCCCCGCTCTGTTACCGGTCTATCCTGAGCCGTCTTCCGATGTTATCGCTCCCAGTGCAATGCCCAGCGACGTCAGCTCTGATGATGGGTGCTCCACGGCCCTCATCACTATCACGACTACTCGTGCCGTCTCCGTCGTCACGCAAATCCCTTCCAGCCTTCTCACTGTTACTGGCATTGTCGAACTAAGCTCTTTCATGCCGTCTCAGCCGCTGCCTCCGACAACCGCAACTGGCGTCATCGAGACCAGCAGCTGGATCGTTCCTCAGCTACCGAGCACGGCCGTCACGGTCATCGTTCCGGGTAGCAGTGCCGTCGATGAGGAGAGTAGTGTTGTGCTCTCGCAAATCCCCTATCCTACTGCTAGTGACAAGCCACTCAGCACTACTAGCGTAGGAACAACCTCTTCTAAATCCCCAGGTCTACCGGTGTTTACTGATGCTGCTGATGCGATTAGGGTACCAGTTGTTGTTGCTGGTATTATCGGGTGGGTTGCTTTGGTGATGTAGGCGCGAGTACATATGATTGTTGCAGTGTGAAAGAAGAGGCAGGTAGCAATGTCACATGTCGAATTTGGTTCTACCAAAAGCCTGATTTAAGGAGCGTGTTCGCGTTGCTCTGCTAGATTACTCTCGTCCATTTTGCTCACCAACAGCCATTGATGGTATCATCTATCTAAGAACGATAGTGAATCGGCTGACACTTGTCGTTAGGCACGCTCGAATTGCTGACTCTCGACACTCGCCGCCAAGACGACTTGAATGCCGGTTTCACGATGCCTTTCTATGCCTGCCAGTTGCCATCCTGAGCCTGAAGAGCACGAGCAATAGCTTCATCGTTAGCTGAGTCGGAATCGGCTCCAATCTGCGCCTCCTCGCCAGAAAGAGCGATAGCACCCTGCCTATTGCTAGTCATGCAGCAAGAGTAGAACAAGCTAGCCCAAAGGAAGACCCTGTGCACGCGGATCAATCAGCATAGACACCTATCATACCTGGATGCGGAGGACCTACCAGTTGAAGAAGTTCAACCAAAGCAGCAGTCCCTGCCACTTATTGATCTTGACCCCACTGATCCACAGCCCCTGCTGTCCAGCACGATGAGCATCTCCTTCTGTCGGCGTACTAGCAACATGGCCAATGAAACCTATGATGGACATGCCGAACGCAGCGGCCATCTTGAGGATCTGGTACTTGACATATTTCTGCTTGGACAGAGTACCGGCGGCGGCGCGTCTTTGCTCTCGGACGATGAGGGAGATTGTCGTTGCCGAAGTCAAAATGGGGGTATAGAGGAGACTGAGAGTGAAAAGCTTGCGCTGGACAGGGAAGACAAGCGTGATGAAGACGGCGAAGATACTAAGGGCTGCGATGGCGATTTGGCAGCCTTGTATGATGCGTAGACGGGGAGAGGCATCGCGTGGGAGGCCGAGGCCGAAAGAGGGCATCTTGATAGAAGGCATACCGAGTCTTTCGTGATTGTAAGAGAGGGATGGTACGGGTGTAAGCGGACAAGGCGGGACTTACAGCGCTCTTTATGGAGGGGCTAGCATCTTCACCGGTTGCGCCTCAGGAACAATAAGGACGATTACCCCTGCAGCCACAAAATGTCGAAACCCCAAATTTGGTATTTTCCCATACTCGACTCGTGTCTCCTTGTTAGATGGGGTGCGCGATTGGCTTGGATGCCTGGAAACGGGGCGCGCGTTGCCGGAAGCGCTTCGCGTAGTTTAGGCGGCCAGCATGGCGTAGGCGCAGACGTCGTGTCAGGCTGTCAGCACACGACCTGGGATCTGGCGAGAGCGGCTAAGAGCGTGTATGTGTTGATGTATTGAATATGTAGCCCAGCGGTCCTTATGGCGGTGGTGAGCGATTGAAGCGGCTCGTTGCTTGAAGATAGTTTACGTGCTGAGTCGTCAGCAGTGCTACCAAATTCCACGAGTGCGACGAAGGCCCCAGCCGTCTTTGTGCTATCGCCACCACTCGAGCTATCGAATCGAACATTGTCATAAGACTTGCTCGCACTTCCCGCTCTTGTAATATCTGGATTTACTTTTGCGATTTGAGAACGCGTTACATTTGCCAGCGCGCCATGCTCGTTGCGACTGAGGCAGTCACCAATAACTCTTGTCGAATCATCCATAGCGTTGTTGGTCTCAAAAACAAGCATTAACAACAATCCGTTGGTCTCCGCTTGGTCTGACATCGAAGTCGGTGAGGATGCTGACCAGATTTCTTCGCCTGCGAAGCGGCTCATCTTTGCCAGGCAAGGCATAAATTGCACTGTCTTCTTTGTCGGATGGTCGAGAGCATATAGATACTCGGCCGATGCTAGAGCTTGGACATCCGAAGTTTCGTACAGTGCTAGATACTCGTTTGGCCCATGTTCAGGTTCGAGTGCGCGATAGCGGCGCGCACTTTGAAAGCCAGGGAGGCATACACGCTCGGGAAGGTGTTCGTTGGTCCACCAATCGTTCAATGCGTTCTCATCGGTTGTGGTAGGGTCGACCGATCCCCATAGAACGAGAACACCCTTAGACCTCCGAGAGGAGACAACAGAAGATGGTGATGATGCCATGTTATGCTGCTTGACAGTGCGGGATCCGCAACGGCTAGACTATTGATGGTACTACCAATAATCGAATTCCGCACAAACCAAAGTCTACCTAGAGATGCGAAATGCACAAAAAGATACGGAAGAGAAGGATGAGAGGGTGCGTGCGCGCAGTGCGCCTCTTAGGCTGGATTGCCATGTGGGGTGGTAGGCTGCCGATTGTTCCTGCATGTCCCCGCATCACCAAGGCTATTTGACCACTTGTTCGCAACAACCCTCTGAACCCAGTACACACACGAGTTCAACAAGTCATCTGCGTCGCGATATTACAGCCTTGGGGAAATAACGAGCGATTAGCAGTCTAGGTTATCGTCCAACAATGTCGACCTGAAACTGGCGTCACTCCGGCCTTGGTCGCCTAGAAAACGTCGCAGTCTCATTTCGCCACGGCGCGGCGCATAGCCGATGATATGCTCCTCGGGTCGCAAAGCCGGTCTTAGAAGGACATTGGATCCAAAAAACATCAGGAATGAAGAAGATTCTCACCTCAATTGATATCTGCATAGGTCTCCTAACTATCCTAAAGGCGTTTACTGCATTCCGATATAGTAGGAATGCAAATGTCGAACGATCATGACCCGAACAAAGGAACATCTTGGTACATCCAGGCCCCGGTCTTCGGACATAGTGTCACGAGTCAATGGCCCGAGAACAATAGCATCTGGAAACCATGCTGGTGGAAAACCCTCTATCAAGTTCGTCCCACCGGCAGTTTGGATATGACAACGCCACGGATGCTTGCCTCCGAACTAGGCTCCTATTTTAATTGGCTTATAGGCTTCGTTCGAAGGCATAGTCTCATTTCCCACAAGATGGCCCACACGGCTAATGCAGATCAGCACTAGCCTGAAGGTCTTTCGCGGCAGCTAACAAAACAAGCTTCGATTCCAAACTCAGGGGAAGATAAAAAGAAGCAATGCGCCTCCTCGTAAAGGCGTTGGCACTGCCGTCAAGCCTCAGCTCGTATCGTCACTCGTTTTTACGACCACACTCCTTTATACCCAATCAGTCGTTCGTTACATTCGCAAAGTCTATTTACCATACCCTAATATAATCCTTGCTTTCTGAGTAGACCCACCAAACCCACCATGCGTCAATCCATTGCTATTCTCTCCATCCTAGCAAGCGCGGCTTGTGCTCAAGACGTCGTCAGCTTCTTTTTCCCTGGTGGTACGTCACTCTAGTTCCAACACCGGCACAGATCAAGTCTAATTCGCGTAGGCTACGATGGCGTTGACCCTGTCGCGACCATTAACACCGTCAATCCCTCCACTACCGAGTTTCACATCGCCTGCCCTACGGATACCGACGACAGCGACGAATGTGGCTGGGGCCCAGGCCTCGATGTCACTATCCTCTCCCAAACGCGCTTCCAAGCCCAGATGTCGACCGACGTCGTATCAATGAGCCTCGGATGCGACTACAACGAAAAGGCAGTTGAAATGACTTGCACGGTGAACCAAGTAGGCGGCAACGATGACACTGGCGGTGAACCTATCACAGCGACGCTCTCCAGTGACGACGTGAAGTTCCTCTCCGCTACTGTTGTTGCTGGAAACAGCCTCTTGACTGATGCTGGAAGTGCTATTTCTAGCATGACTGAGTTCGCGCAAGGCGGTAGCACTATTGCTACTACAACAAGGAGTGCCAGTGCAGGTCTGATGACCCCCAGTGGATCTGTCATGCCGACCAGCACAATGGCTTCGGCTTCGGAGGCTACGTCTGCTGCTAGTGGCTCCTCCTCAGCGTCTGTGTCTGCGCCTGAGAGCACTGGTGCGGCTACCAAATACGGTATTGAGGGCTCTGTACTTCTCGCTCTTGCCGGTGCTGCTGCGCTGAACGTCTGGTGAATGTGTCAGTAGTAGTTGTGAATGATGAGTAATTCTTAATGAAACGGATGGTTGGTGAACATGATGCGGCTTATCCAGTGATTAGATACCCAACCGTGACTCGTTAAGACATGGCTTACTGACCACGTTCCGAAGCTTTTGGAAACAAACGATGCACCGATGGTTCACATGGCGTAACTATAGTAATGTTCACCCAAACCAGAAAAATAGCGTTCTTGTGCTTGTGTATCAGTGTAATGCGTGCGCAAGTGTTCCAATGACGATAAAAACATCGAGATACGTTAGTACACGACTATCGTACATCTTCATCTCGATGCTCGATGCATCCTCGGGTTCCATGTCGAACAAGGTCATCCGTAGTCTGCGCTCATGCCACTGAATTCACAGTGTTTGACGTACTGTGCCTAAGAGAGTAGCAGGTCTTGTTTGAGGAGCTCGAGGAAGAAGCTTCTGACAATACATGAGACATTGCTCTACGTTTGTGGTGCTTCGGTAATCTTCGAAGCAGTGCTGACCGACGATGTATCTGCATGGTAATTTGATGGGTATACACTCAGGTATTGCGTCATCTTCATTCCCATCGTCTTCTTTGTGTTCAAAGTATTTGCGTAGACATATCCAACAGTCTGGCTCGATGTCGTTGGCGGGAGAGGCAGGAGTAAACTGCTAAGAGTATCGTGTACTGAACAGAACGCTGGAGAATGACTTTGTTTCAATAACCATCACGGACATTGAGCTTTGCAAAGGTCGAGGGAAAGGGCGGTTGTGTTGAAAGAAAACTCGTAGATTCCTGGTCTTGATTGGGACATCGTAGCCTTTCGAGGCTACATAGACTTGTTCAGATACTAACAATTTGGAGAAGAGGGGCTCCAGGCCAAGCTTACAGGTCGCGAAGTCTTTCACTCCACAGTTGAGTTGCAACAGAATTCTTCCGAAGGTGAGACAACCCGCGGCGGTGTAGTAACTCAAAACGAACCGAAATGCTATTAGAATGTTATGAAATTGCACTAGAATCATTTGAGGTGAATCAAACGTCTGTATAGTTCGAGAAGTCTCTCTAGCCATTATAGAGTTCAGTCGCATTCTCTGGTTGATTCCTTGGCAAACAGTCCAAGTCACCGAGAAATCGGTGGAAGACTCGACTGCGGATCGGAAGTTGTCTTTGATTTGAGTTAAAACAGGCTACAGTCTATAGTTATCCATTTGTGACACAGTAGTGGAAGCAGATACTGCAAGATAGAAGTGCTTCAATATACTTCTTTTGATTGCGTCTACCACCTACGGCCGTCGGTACGTGAGAGCAGGAGGCTATTGGCCATGGCGACGCTCTGGAGGTGAGATCGGAACGGAACAAACATTTTGTGTTGCGTTCCGGGAACCAATCGATTTCATCGCGCCGGTGGCTAAAGGTTCGTCTCTCCTCACCACAAGAATCCTCGCAGACCGGTTGAGTCAGACCATCCCAAGACCCCGGAGGAGTTCGGATCAGAGCTCGTTGACATGTCGCATTCCAAGGCTGCGATACTCCGGCTTCCCGAGGAGCTGCTGGTCCACATCACGGACGACGTCGATATCATCGACCTCCATGTTTTGTCAATCACTTGTCGGCGCATACGCCCAATCGCGCAGGAAGGCCTTGTTCGACGAGCAACTCTACCACTCAAAAATGTTTGGAAACTGGTGGACTTACTGCAAGCTTACTCAACCCTAGTCATATCCTTTACTCACCTTCGACTTGGTCCCATTTCGGAGGATGCAGCGAGAAGCATAGTCTCCAACCACAATGCCGCTCAGAGACCCCACATGATACACAGGGATTACTCCATGTGTGATACTGCTTTCGAAGAATCTAGGTGCACCTCAGCTGGAATGAAAGTTCTGTTGACTCTTGCGCGTGGTCTAAAGTGTGTGTCTATGGGTACAGTCTCTAGCCACAGCTTCGATTTGCTGAATGCTTGTATTCTCACTGGTCCCAATATATCCAGTACCGAAGTGGTCACGCGTTCGTACGAGAAGGCGCGATCAGACCTCCAAGCACGACTCGAGGAGGTCAATGTGGATCCCGACCACCCTGGTGCTTTCCCGGCGACCAGCCTAGTCATGTCCTTGCATCTTTCAGAATGTTCCAAGCTCAAGCGATTGGTAACCCCATACAGGACTTTGTTCAAAAGGCCGGGAGACAGGTTGTTGTCTGAATTCACACCTTGCCGGCTGGTCGAACAGCGTTACTACACCGAGCCTCACCGTATATTGCCGCCATCTCTTGAGTCTGTACACATAGTCTTTGGAACGGTCTCTCCCGATGTGCGATGGCTCGACAGGCTGATACTCAATGAAGTTGGCTTTCCGAAACTGCGCGAAGTTCAGCTGCTATTCAAGCAGAACCTTCTGTCAGCTGCCTGGAGCTTGTGTTGTTACCCTGACTCTAGGCTTCTGGCCACGCTTCGAGGATGGCAGGCATCGCGCGTTGATCTGACCACAAGATTCCGCATCGCGAGGTTCACTGACGTAGCAATAATGGAAACCAAGAGGGATACACCAGCGCCTTACATTGCCGGCGATATAATCCCTGCAGTCGAGAAGTGCCTCGCGACGACACTTGATCAACTAAAGGATGAACCCGAGATGTTAGCAGCACTGGGCTATGTAGCAGGGTTTACCTAATGTCATCTTTCCTTGAACTTGGCAGGGGCTCCAATATGAGGAAAGAAGGAAAATATGACATTCTTGGCAGTAATTTGTCCTGAGAGGCAGCTATAAAAAGTATGAAAAATGGTGTGGACGCAATGATACATGCATTGCAATGGTGCAGTGCTTGAACGTCGCCATGATGTTGTGAAAAAAGCGAGGGTTTGCCTAACCTGTGTACTGTCGAGCACGCGCCCTGGCATCATCACCGGCCCGCTTCCCATACGCTCCATTTCTCCTGCATCCCTTTACCGTCTTCTCCAAGTGACCCCCACGATACCAAAGTCTAGACCCTCTGGCCTTCAGTAAACCCCAGCTTCCTGTCCTCGCATACATCATCGTACGAAGCGAATTCGCTTGTCGGCTTCACATATGACGATTGTTCGCGATGCTGCGCACCCGTTCATCACCACCACGATCAGCGACAGGGGTTTAGCAGCACAACCGTTACTCTGAAAGTCTAGATTTCCGCGCGACGAACTCGAAATGACGTCGATTGAGGCTCTGGATATACTCAGGATATGAGAGACAGCTACTATGCTGCTACCAGCTTGCACACTACAGGCTGCAGATCGTTGGAAGGCGCATCTAAAGGTCCAGACTGTCATGGTCGTGTCTACAGTCCCTAGATGTGACGCAGTTGTGGTGTGTTCAAGGTAGATCAGGCTCACTGCGCGCAAGGCATCTGCTCTACGGTGAGCTTGTTGTGCAAGAGAAGGCGAGATGAGCGTGTGGAGAGTTTTTGATCGCGATGAGACAGATCTGGACTCTCCAGACCATGGTCACGTAGTTGAAGAAGGTTGTCTATGTCTATACGACGCGTCGCATCGCATCGCTCAGAAGGTATAAAGGTGATAGCTCTACAGATACACTGATACAGAGAAGGTCGAGACGCTGGCTACAACCATAGTGCATTCAAAACCTCACTCTACCATCGACCGCATATCCCCTTACTTCAACATGCGCGAAGCTAAATATATCCCGCCCTCAGCGACCCGACCCGACACCCAAAACAACCAGAATATACCTTCAAAAGCCAACCTCGATAACGCTACGACAGCTCAAAGCAAACCCAAGCGTCGCACGAAGAAGTATCGCGCGATCGAACGTCCTGACGGTATCATCGTCGAGTATCCTCGGTATCGACCGGCAGGCTCATCGCAGAAGCCAACAATCGGGTTCAAACAAGACTCGATCCCTTCGAACTACAATTGCACGCAACACAAACCCACAAAAGAACCAACGCCGAGCAATGCAAGACACGATCTTGTGGGCATAGGGAGTTCTTTCTGTGAGGTGTCTGCAGATAACATCGGTAGTGACGTGTGTATCGGACCTCTAGGAAGAGGAAGAGCAGGATACAACGAAGAGGCTACATGCGAGAATGCATGTATTCAAATAGTCGCGGACAGAGGCGAGCAGCAGCTCTACCACGGGTCTACGCCGATGGCTCGTTTCCTACTTGAGCAAGGGCCTTGGAGTTCTTTTCCCCTCCACAAAGTTCCACAAGAGCCTTTGGAACTATACAGGCCTTCAGCGTCATTAGTGTCGAAAGGCATTGCTACGGGGGGAGACTCGGCATTTTGGTGCATTTGATCGTACCGAAGTCCTCTAATTCTTATCCATACACGCCTCAAGAAACAATTTTGAGCAAGCGGTGCGCGTTGTGGATCAAGTCTACTGCATGATGGTCTTTCTCTTGCATTATACTCGGGCAATCACAATCGCAATTCAAGCGTCTAACCCACAGCGGCTATATGGGAGCATCGTGGCCGGGAATGTGGGAGAGATGTTCACAGGACGAGCCTAGGAAACTGCAGCGTGGCTGCAAATGATCTGCATCCTGTAAGACGACGCCCGCAGTAGTGCTAGTGCGTACACATATCGCAAATAAAGTGTTGTGGCCAGGTTCCTCATTTGCCGTCGCAATAAACTGCTCAACATTGAGATAGATTGCGATCATGCCTGTTCCAGCATTGAGACAACATGAGACTCCATGCAATAGAATCTATGGCCAGTGTTAATCACAGAATCGGCCTATGAGCTCAGCCCAGTCTGACAGGCTTGAAACACGCCACAAGACGCTCGCAACGACGGTGGTGATGACGGCACAGCTCCACTGGTGTGCAGTGGCGTCCGCATCTGGACTCCTAGCTCTGCAGTAGCCAGCCGTTCTCCGCTCGTTACACGGCTGTCTGTGCTATTTATCCAGGTTCGCCCGCCATTCGCATGGTCGACAGGATTGAACTGCGATAACATCGTCTAATTGCTGGTGATACAACTTAGCAAAATGGCGCTGTTCAACATCCTCGACCAATTCGTGGACACCAAAACGATCCTTCTTTGCTTGGTAGTCGTACTGGTCCTCACTACCACTATCTTGCTGCCCTACTCGCATCGTATACCTGCAGACGCGCCGCCTCAAGTCAGCGACGATCTCCCCGTTGTCGGAGCCCTTGGCTTCTGGACCCAACGGTGGAACTGGTGGAGCGAGCGACGCGACCAGTCCAAAACTGGTACTTTCTCCTTCCATGTGGGGCCGAACATGGTCGTTGCGCTCTCTGGAGACAAGGGACGTCAGGTGTTTTTTGAGTCGAAAGATTTGGGCTTTGGTGAGGGCTGTAAGTTCCCTGTGCGAACTACATGTGAGGCACGTACTGACTTTGTACACCACATTCAGATTCTGTCCTATTCGGCCAAACGCCCAAATCAACCAAAGAAATCACCGACGAAGACAAGAACCTTGGTTTCGATGCCTGGTTCCATCGCCGCCTCACCTCCCTCTTGAAGCAAGAGCATTTCCGCCGCAATCTGCCTGTTCTCATATCTGACACAAAGGAAGCTCTAGAAGCCATCAAGAATGATGCCAGCGGCCGTACAAATCCCTTTGAGAGCCTTTATCGCATCGTATTCCGCCTTACTATTCGCATGGTAGGCCCTACTGAGATCGCCGAGGATCCGGACAAGCTGGAAGCCGCCTTGAAGATGTTCGAGATGATCGATAAGAGCGCGACCGCTACGTCAGTTATCTTTCCAAAACTACCTTCGCCGGCTATCATACAACGGACATATGCGGGCACGCGACTTTATATGATGATCGACAGTATAATTAAGAAGCGCGCGGCGAGTGACGAGAAAAACGAGGATGCTCTACAACAGATGCTAGATCAAGGCGATCGCGCTGTGAGGATCGTCGAGTTCATCGTTGGAGCGCTGTTCGCTGGATTGATCAATAGCGGTATCAATGCAGGCTGGGTGAGTGGATCTAGATGTTCATACTGTAAAAGCCAAAGAAAACTGAACTCTGCTAGGTAATCTGCTATCTTGCAACCTCACCCGAGTGGCTCGCCAAAGCGAAGGACGAGATCTGTAGTACTGCAGCGAAGTACGCTAAGGATCCCAAAGCACCCTTGCGCGATCAGCTTGACGACGTACCCATAGAAGCGTGGGAGGCAGAGTTTCCGATCATAGACATGTGTCTCCGCGATTCTTTACGACTGAACCTTCTCGGTACAGCCTTCAGGCGGAACATCAGTAGTAAAGGCATACCCACAGGCAACGGCAACGAAGTCATCCCCCCCGGCGCTTTCGTCACGTATGCCACTGGCGACATCCATCTCGACCCGGAAGTGTATACTGATCCTCACAAATGGGATCCAGCTCGATACTCGCCAGAGCGCGCCGAGGACAAGAAGAAGGCGGCGCATGGCTTTGTCGGTTGGGGATCAGGACGACATCCCTGCCTGGGTATGCGCTTCGCTAAACTGGAGCAGAATATCATCACCGCATACTTCATCGCGACGTTCGACTTCACACTTGAAGATGAGAGTGGCAAAACACTCAGTGTCGCCCCTTTGGTTGACCACAATCGACACTCGGCCCACAAACCAGCCAAATTGCAGTTCCTCAGGGTTAAAACGAGAGAAGAGTAGATGGTATGTTCCCAGACGTCCGCATGAATACGAACCTAGCAACAGTGATGCAACCTGTTGCCGTAGCTCGCAGTGAAGGAGGTCGCTTCTCACATTTGAGATGAACTTGTTGGCAAATTGCAGAATATTGAAAGCATCAAGTGAATACCAAATTTGACACTCGAGAACGCGCATGTAGCCATAACCTCTCGTCTCATCAGCGTGCGTATCAAAGGCAATAGCTTTGGAACGAGTCACCTGCTTCAAGAATAGCGTCTTGGCGCGACGTGTCACACCCACCCACCCACCTCAGTCAACGAGCAGCAGCCAAGGACCGTACTGCACCACAACACTTCTTCTGTGCTCTAAATCGCACAATAAAGTTCGATTCTCACGATCTGGCAGAGTTCTTCAGGTAATTGTCTCACCAGACTCACTCCATTACGTCACAGACCATTGATCACATGCAGGTACCGCGATTGCCGCAGTCGTGACTGGCCATATTTCGCACATGCACACACAACCGTGTACCAAATCCAAGAGGAGTCCATCATAACGATTGGCGTCTCAACTCAACCATCCAAATCACATATCGCCCCACTCTTATATCGCCATGGCTCCAACGACACCACCCAGTTCTAGTGCCAGGAAGAGACGCGTAGCGAGCCCTGGAAGTGGAACAAAGACTCCCGCCCTTCCAAGGGAACCTGCAATACCGGACACTACCCCCAAAGGCGCGCAAGATGGTCACCAGCCTGATACGAGTGTGCGATCAGACGAAGTTGACATCCACCTCCTCCAGAATCACGGCCTACTTAGCCTGCCTTGCGAGCTTATTGAGATGATAGCCTCAAACCTCCTTGCCACTACGCATATCCTCAACCTCGGACTCGTCAGCAAACGGATTAGTGGGATCGTTCAGCAAACCATCGTGCGTGGCTTGGTCGTATCTAGCATGAATATTAGAGAATTCTTCGAAATGCTCATTGGTCACGCTGAGCTCAGCAACAAAATATCTAGTGTTAATCTCGGAGATTTTGGATACAGGCACCATGGACAACGTTTCTACGCAGATCCGATCGGTCTCCGCCCGAATTTCCTAGAAAATCTTGGCACCGCCATCACTGCGACTACCGGGCGAGTCGTTGACTGGAGCCTGGTTAGAGAAGACAACATATCTGTCTGTCCTGTATGGGAGTCAGATTCAGCCTTCTTTCTCAACGTTCTCGCAATATCCTGTCCAAGCATCAAATCGGTGACTGTTCAGCTACCCGAAGCTAGGGTATTTCACTCAGGCCAACCTCCACGTCCGATACACCTGGCTCCATCAGCTTTCCCTGCGTTGAACCCAGAGTTACTGCCTGCTGCACCATTCCAAGGTCCAGCGTTAGACGTGTTCCAGGCGAGGCTCGAAGCTCTCGTAATCTCGGAGAATACCAGATGGAAAGGCCCTCCCACGGTTGAGGTCCTTGAGTCACACAACCTCAAATGGAGGAACATGGGAACACACATTATTACGTTGGCAGGTTTCTCAAGACTGAAGCGACTTGATGTACCTATGGATATCTTAGGACGTCCGCACGACATTGTGTTCTCCAATACCAGTAGTCTGGATGTGACAAAGCACGATGGAACAGCGATTATGGATCGTGCGCTTCCAATGGGCAAGACGCTGGCGGAGCTACGTTCCAAGGTCTTACCGCTTACTATGCAATATCTTCACCTACGATCATGCAACAAATGGATGTTTGCCCTCTTGCAAAGAATCAACGAAGTCCCTGTGGAAGAATTGAGGCTCAGGCACGTCGAGCTGTCTTTCGAGCCATCGCCTAACAGCCTTTTGATACAGTGCGATGCTGCAGATCTGGGTCAACTGAATTACTCTCAGTTACTCGTAGATCTTGACCGTAAAGGAGTCAATGTCACTTTCCATACCGGACCGCAGGGAACTCTCGTGGACATGCGCAAAGAGATCGAGGCGCTTTCCTGTTTGACGACTATAGAGACCTGGCACTACTCGATCACGCACGCGCCATTCTCCAAGTGGAACCCAGAAGCTATCAGAAAGCGTCAGTCGCTGAAGATGGGCTTTAGATATTTCTTACGGCACGCTGACCACCACTCACAACTACTCAATAGTCCCACTTTCAACCTAGAGTCGTGGACACAGAGCGCCTTCTTCCACGGCACCAGGAATAGTAGATGGGACCCGCAGCTTCTGGATTCAAAGATGAAAACGAAAACAGTCGGGTCTAGTGGATGGAATGAGAGGGCTCTTGGGAAGCACGCACTGAAGCGACGACTTTCACCGTTATTGAGTAAGCTCTGATCCAATGTGGCAAGAACAGCAGGCTGACCAGCATCATAGATTTGGATACCTATCAGTTTAGCCTCCGGATCAAGCAGAGTCTTACACCGCTACCTAGAGAAAGCCGATTCCTTGGTGCTAGTTTCACTACCATAGACGGCACGCGCGCACAGCCTTCAGATCAGCATCGAAACACAGCGAAGAAACCTCGTACGTACGAAGAGAAGCCGAAGCGATCGAAGCGTGCTGAGTGTGTTGAACTTGAATCGCACACAATAACCGAGGTTCACAATCTACAAGACGATATAGACAGGCTACGGCTAGGACCTGGCAACATCATTAGCATAGATTCCCAGTTCAGTGCAACACTGTGGGCCGGTGTCAAATGGAAGATGTTCCTGGAGGCGAACCCGGCCACACGATGTATGAAAGTTCTGGAATAGCTTAGCGCTCTTAGAGAAGGTGGAGAAAGATGGCGAGCAGCAATGGCCCTAGATACTAGACCTATTTCTGTCAACATATGTTTATGGAAGGCCTTTTGCACGAGCCAATACCTATACCTTACCCTTGCTAGATACAGACTTCGTATTGTGAATTGCGGCTGTACAACGCGCCGCGTAAACTAGCCGTGTGGAGATCAAAGTGAAAGCTATGTTGCACGTGACGAGACCGTGCGCTTCCCTATCATAAAATTCGCCCTAAAATTAACATACCCATGTGTAGCACACGAAAGATTGGCCTGTACACAAGTCTGTGAGTACGAACCACGCTGATGATAGTCTAAAGCTGCCTGTGTGCAAGTCAACCACTCTCGCTGTTGCCTATCGCTACCTCGCGCCGAAACCGCCATATTATACCGGTAAAATCCTTATACAACCTGTCCAGGTTTCTCTAGTTTGTCCATAATGTTCCGTCGGTCCTTCAACTTCTCCCCAGATCGCGAACGTACGACCATCAACGACCTCCCCGATGAATTGCTGCTCAACATTGGCGCGCACTTCACAAATCTAAATCGCAATCGGGATCTTAGAAATCTCGCGCTTACATCCAAGAAATGGAAGCCTATTGCGCAGGAATGGCTGCTCATAGAATCGAGGTTCAATCTCACTTTCATTGATGGGTACATGTGGGAGATGGGTCATCGGTCGCACTTGCTGTCGCGCGTCAAGAAGTTGGAAATCTGGAGTCGCAGTGAAGGAAGAACTTCAAAGACAAGACATGTTAATCGCATCGGAGTATACGTATACCTTACCGACGTCATCTATAACCCGACCCCCGCTCCAGATCACATAACACAGCAAGCCGAATTCATGGAAATATGCAAGACCGTGATCCAGCATTACGCCGCCAACAAGCGACACGCGAAGGACTGGATCAACTCTATCACGACAGACGTCGTTGCCGCACTATTTGGCGTTCTTCTCTGCGTACTCCCCAACCTACGTGAGTTGAACGTCAGCGACGCGTGGCTAATGGATTCTCCTTTCTTCGCCAACACACGTTCTTCGTCCGCCATCGCGAACCCTCCACATCCATGGTTGTGGAGACACAGCTTCCTCAGTGGCGCGCTCGCAGCCACACTACCTCGTTTAACAGTGCTCGAGGTGCCCAGTGACATGACGGCTTTGTGTGGGAACACAACGTCATCACGCTTTTTGATTTCCGACGTTTCGAGACTCTAAAGGAAGTCATCCTTACCATGAGAGCAATCGAAGGCCATACCATCGCGCGCCAAGGAACACCCAACGCCAACCCGAGAGATCTTTCCGAGGACACTGGAAACATTACGTATCAGCGAAGCGACGCATATCACAGCTAATTTCCTCAACGATCTCTGTCTCGCCAAGAAAGCCTCCTGCTTTCCCAACTTGAAGCGGGTGGAAGCTTACCACATTGAATATCTAGAGAATACCAGGGCTCGTGCCGATCTAGCAAGATGCCTAGACCCAATAGACGATGTGCGCGCCATGTTCCGCGATGCTGAGGTTGCGGTGTATCTCTATTTTCCACCCTGGACCATGAAGACGTGGGAGTCAGAAAGTGGCACGCCGTGGAGAATGAAGACTGAGCCGGATAGGCTACGTCGTGGAGAATATACATGTTATCGGAAAGCTATGGGTCCCTTTGGAATACATCAGGAACCGATGGATAGGATTGAGATTGAGTGGGATGCCGAGGGAGACGCGGTCATGCTCTAGGGTAGAGTGTACATGTTTATGGCAATGAATGGAATGTAGATTAGTGTCAGACACTGGGGTTTTAGATTTTGCTCAGGAAGCATCACTGTACAGTATCGATTCGAGCGTTGGAAAATACAAGAAAGCAACTGCGGTCTGGATCATGTGTAGAATTGGCACGAGGTGGTTACACCCAGAAAAGTTTTCAATCCTGATGAGGGCATACTAATAAGCTAGGAAAATGAGGTGAAATCAGATATATCAGGCGGCGTTTTACCCCTCCCCCATCCAAGTCGAAACCCAAACCAGTATAGCCTGCCCCGCAATCTCAACGCGTGCGGCTGATACCCACATAGCTCTTTCCTCGTCGTGTCAAATTGCTAGCTGTCCCTTCGATCATTCATGGTCGGCACAGCGTTAGGCTGCATCTAATTGGGTGCAGCAACACAGTGGTGATCGCCAATACAATGCGTGCAGCACGTCCTCGTCTCACCCGGCGGCGCGTTTCTTCCACAAGGAGACCAACTCGGCAAGCACTGGTTGGTACAAAATGTCAGCTCAAGATCCGTCTCAGCTCCACAGTTCTTGACCTGACTACCAGCGGGCGGCTTTCCATACGCCCACACGATGCTCTCACACGTTGAATCCGTCGGCTTGAGGGTCATGGTACTTCCGGCAAAGCCGTCGCCGAAAATGTCGCTCATATCGTACCAGATCTGGTTGACGTCGAGGTTGTACGCGAAGATCGTTTGGCTGACGTTTGGCTTGAAAATACCTAATGGTAGGTGTGCGAAGTCAGTGTTTGTCTCACATGCAGTCCGTACAAGGGCATTTCTTACCGCCTTCGATTGGTGATATCTTGATCGCAATGCCTCCAGATTTCGGGTCAGTGACGAAGGATTCACTGTAGGATGTGGCAGGATTGACGATGTGTTGGTCACTTATGCTACCACCAACGGACCAGAGATAGATGGGCTCGGGGCATTGGTTGGTAACGATCGCACGACCTGCGGCATGGACGCTTGCGATGATAGAAAGAACTGTCAATGCGTTGAAGAGCATCTTGAAGTGAATTGTCAACTGGAAATGGTATCTGAGGTTCGAGATGCACACCCCTTGGAAACGAAGCCATGATGGACCCTTTTATACTGTAACGGGACTCAGCACATAGCGTGGCTGCTCCTCGTATTCGAAGCAACCAGCTTGCTACTCTTCTCTACACAGGAGGAAGCTGAGTGCACCGGTATGACCGAGCAGTTATCAAGAACCGAACTTCTTCGTTAGGAGTATTGGTGGCTGTCGCGTTGATTGGACAGCTATTTTCAGCCTCCAATGGGATGCGCGAGCATACGGATACCAATCACATGGTCCCACGTCTGAAGACGCGCTAATTGGTAGCTCAACGTCAGCTGCTACATGGCTAGGTTCCCTAATCTGTACGAGCTTCTTAGATGCCATTTCTGTGTGTAAAAGCTCGTATTCATGGTAGACAAAGTAATGGCTGTGTGTAACAGTGGCTGGAGAGCATCGCTTCCCTCGCTTCGAAAGCATGAATGGAAATTTGATATGTGAAGGTTACACTTTGACTGTGTCGGAAATTCTTGCTTGGACGGGGAAGATTTGTAGACACTATTGGGCTGAAGATCCTGTGATGCTGACGTCAATCAAAAGCACGATGTTTATGGCACCTCATCGACACTGTTGATTGCTTGTGTCGGCGTGGCGTTTGCACCTTCGCGCTTCTTCCTGCTCATCTCATACACCGTTTTCCTCAAGCGATTGATACTGCCTAGTGGCTGGTGATCAACCATACCGTCCCATGGGTTCAGCTTCATTGTGTCCTCCCAGAACACTCGTCGCTCGGCGCTCAGGGCATCTTGCGGTGGAAACTCAACTGTCGCGATCGTCTGGTATGGTGCGGTAGCTTCATCCCACACTACTGATCCGTCTTCAGTTGGATGATGATCCGGTGAGGTACCTAGCTGAATCTACTGGAATCAGAACAGCGCAGCCGACAGTTACGACAGGACTGACTTTGAACTCATACTTGGCGCCGTTTTGGGCAAAGTATTCCGACAGCCAGTCTCGAAGCACTTCTCGAGAGTCACCACTCTTGACTTTCTCGGTTCGGTTCTTCATGTCGTCAAGCACTGGAAAAAGCGCCATGTGGCCATACCAATCCCCAAATCTAAACGCGCTTTGCGTGTAAAACGAGTGGCTGATCATGTTGGTATTCGGAAGCATACCTGCTAAGATGAGCGAAGACGAAGACGCATTGCGACAATAAAACTCATACCAGGTGCGCTTTGTTTGATTGCATCTGTCCTTAGTTTCGTCGCTGCAGCCAGCTTCAAGGGACTATCAAAGTACTTCTCTCTCAGTTGCATGATCTCAAGACAGGTATCGATGTCGGTCAGTTCGATAGACGGAGCGTTGTTAAAGAAGAAATCCTGGGTACTAGCCTCAGGGTCAGCGCTTTGAAGCCTCTTTCCCTGCACTCCAAATACTCGCATTCCCAGACCGCGAGGCCCAGGTTCCTGGTCGGCCTGAAGAAAGACAGGCTCGTTGGCATATCGTGCTGCAACATCGTAAGTCTCCCCCGGGGTCTTGAAAAGGCCTTGCTGTAGATGTGCCGGCAAATCCGGAAGCACAGTCATCTTGCCCTTGACGATGCCCTGCGTCTTGACGTGAGTTGCCCGATAAGCATGCCTGTGCTGATCGAAGTTGTGCTGTTGCATCCGGTTCATCGTCTCTCCAATCTTCTTTGCCGTCTCAGCCTCGTTAGGCTTTGGTGCCTCCACGCCAGGCGCATCCCAGCGAAGGTAGGAATTGTTCGGCGGGGCGGATGAAATAGCACGCTTCGCGCTGTTGTATGCGTCTGAAAGAGACATTTCGAAATGCAATGTCTACCAGCCTTCCAGGACCCAGCGATACTTTACATGGGTCTGGGCGTGAATGCCGCACTAGTTCTAGCGGAGACGTCATAGATACATCATCAACTGCAGCGCTGTCAGTAGAGCGCGTTTCGACACTAGACAATTAAACCTTGGGAAGATACAATATTGACATGGTAGCAGCGTCGAAGGTGACCGTAATGGTTGCGTGTGATGATCTGTGAGGCTCAAGCATCGACGGATTGCAGGACCTGTTTCGATCGGTCTGCACTGAGATTGGCAAGCGCTAAGCTTCATGCAGCCGCTAGCGTGCTCCCATAACCTTGGAAAGGCATGACACCTTGACTATGCCGCTTGTATCGACTTGGCTTTCGACGAGCGCGATGCCAAATTGACGTCAAGCAATATGGCATCTGCTTCGCTGTCATTAACATCCCCCACTGGTAAATCACCATGTCCCCGTCGCGCCCATCATCTTCACATCCCGGGTCAACACACTCGTCGGTATCTGGATCCTCCTCCACCGAAAACATGACTTCCCGCGCCAGACCCATCAAACGGCGCCCACGGCCTGCGGAGAGAGAAGACTACAACCCCACATATCTGCCGTGGAAGAAGCGCTTAGACCATTTCACCTGGTCATGGTTTGAATGCACCATGTCAACCGGCGCCATCGCGACACTTCTTGGCCAACAACCATACAGCTTCCACGGACTGAAGACCATTGGAAAGATTTTCTTCATATTGGACATTGTCCTGTTCCTCGCGTTCAGCGCCTGCATCACATACCGCTTCATTCACAACCGCGGTTCTCTCAAGCTCAGTCTGCATCATCCTCACGAAAGCTTCTTCTTCGGAGCCTTCTTTGTCTCTATTGCGCTCATCATCTATTGTATTGAACTTTACGGCGTACCATCCAGTGGACCATGGCTTGTCAAGACATTGGAGATACTGTTCTGGCTGTACGCAGCAATCGTCATCCTGGTCGCTGTCTTCCAGTACCATGTCATATTCGACCGACGTGAGCTTCCCGTTAAGGATGCGATGCCCGCTTGGATTCTGCCGGTATACCCATTCCTTGTCTTGGGAGTCTTAGGCAGCACACTACTGAAGAGTCAGCCACCTGGCCCTGGTTTCAACATCTTTATTGGCAGCGTCACTTTCCAGGGCCTAGGCTGGACCATCGCATTCCTGATGCTTTCGCTCTACTTCACACGTCTGGTCAACAGCAACTTACCTGAAATACCCAAACGCCCTGGCATGTACGTTGCTGTTGGCCCAGCTGCATATACCGCCAATGCTTGCATCGCGCTTGGCTTGCAGGCACCAAAACATGTCCCTGAGAATCTGTTGGGAATTACTTCCTTCCCTGTTGGCGATGCTTTCAAAGCTTTCGGGTTCATCATGGGCGTCTTCCTGTGGCTGATCTCCTTCTGGTTCAGCGCCATCGCTACCATCAGCATTGTCATCAGCGCCAAGGAATCGCACTTCACGCTGAATCATTGGGGCTTCATTTTCCCGAATGCCGGGATGACGATCGCGCTTATTTATATCGCCAACGCGCTGAACAGCCCAGGGATCAAGGGAGTGTGTAGTGCAGCAACTATCATCTTGGTCATGCTATGGATCTGGGTGGCTGTGCTTAATGTCAAAGGCGTACTGCAGAGGAAAGTGTTATGGCCAGGTATGGATGAAGACATGGAAGATATTGAAGGTCACGGTCACAAGCCGGGCTCGGACCAAGAAGACGGTGACGGGGAAGTATAGGAAGCTGTACCTGTCAAAGTATGATGAAGTCTATTGAAAGAAATGTATAGTAATGTTATTAATGGAATTGTTGACATCGTCCATCGATGCAAACCTTCACTGATCGCACACGTAATTCTGACAAGCGCAGCCTCCGCGCCGTCCCATTCTTCATGCAGTTTTTCTCAGCAACCACAACACGAACTTGACCTGCAACTCGCATATCGAAACCAAGCCTTAATGTCATTTTATAACATTTACCCTGACATAGCCATCGACTATGCGGTATGTAACACATGCGGTGTTGAAGCCTTTACATGGCTAGCCGATGGCTTTGATTGTCCTGTATGTGGTAGTGGTAATCGCGCATATCGTCACTACACGGATGACGAGATCAATACGAGTTGCACGAAGGTAGAAATCCAGAGCATGATGAAGAAAGACTACTACGATGAGGTTCGGCGGCTCTTTGTAAGCGTAGATAGAAGGAATGGGTGGTTGCGGAAGGATACTATAGTACCAACATGTGGGAAGAAGAGGAAACGTTCGCTAAGCGATGTCGGAGGACGAGAGAGGCAGTAGAAGATTTTTGCATGCACAAGACGGTTGACGTAAAGACCGGATGCTGCATTGACATATATAGTGTAAGGAAATTTATTTCATAATGTGAGTGCACTACAAATTCGAACGCGGACGCCGAACGCCCAGGATGTTCAAAAATACTGATAACATACAAAGGAGATAATAAAAACAAGTGAGCGCAGATGACAACCTATACACGAAAAGCCTATAACAACCAAACCAATCTGAACCACTACCGTGTTGCGTCGATTACAAAGCTTGAGAGCTCTTCGTCCTCTTGAATCCAATCCTCTTAGCGAGTGATCCAAAACCGCTAGCCCTCCTCTCTTTGTCTTTCGTCTTCTCCTCAACTCCGATTCTCGCCTTGGCCTTCTCACCCCAAGGGTTCTGCATCTCTTTCTCTATCTGCTTCTTGCGCTCTACAGCGAGTATGCTCACTTGATCGACGAACACGGACTTGTCGAGCAAATCTTCGACCCTAACCTTGAGCCCGTCTTGGTCGAGAATGGACGCAACTTGTGCCAAACCCATGATGTCGCCACCCAGCTGGAAAAAGTCGGAGCCAAGCTCTATGGGTATCGGGGAGCCATGCTCATCATGCAGAATCTGCTCCCAGGCCGATCGCAGAGTCGAGGCGAGGGTAGTAGTCTCGTGACGCGAGAGGCCTGTGTCGGTTGGCAAAGAGACAGGCTGCTTCTCTGTGGACTTCTTGCGCATCTTTTCCGAGTTGACGGTAGTCGAGCTATGGGAGCTGAGTTCTGAGGGGGATGGGAGCAGGCTATGCGGATCCTCCGAGAAGGCGGCAACATTGGCGCACAGCATATCGAATGCGTGTTGTGCAAACTCTGCAGTAATGGTGCTGTTCGGAGCGTACGTCAAAGTGACATCCATTTGGTTACCACGAGATGTTGTATGGATGGAGAAGTCTGCAAAATCTTCTTGTGAGCCCACGGCGCCGATCGTGTACTCGATGCCGCCTAGCTGCATAGTTGGTCGATCATCCTGTATGTTCTGGTCATGTTGCAGGACGCTCGAAAAGTTTGTCCAATCGGGCCACTCTGTGCAGTGTCGTGTGATCTCGCGGAAGCCGAGAGACTCGAACGGCATGTTCGCGATTTGCTGATCTTGGATGAACTTGAGAAGATCCATCACAGTCCACTCAGGACGGTATACAATGCGAACAGGTACCATGTTCAAACAGGGCCCGACGATGTTCTCGACGTTGGCAACACCGCCGTTGCGACCTGATATGACATGACCAAAAACGATGTCAGCCTTGCTTACAAGGCGCGAGAGAGTCGAAGCCCAAGCAGCCTTGGCTACTGTCGCGCTGGTGATGTTGACACCTTTCAGCTTTGGCGCATTGACTCTCTTCTCCAATGTGATTGATTGGCCAGCTGAGCGCTGGTAGTTGGGACCGAATCGGTTCACGATTTCGGTCATCTTGGAACCACGAAGCACTTCTTTCCAGTGCTCGTGGGCACCAGATACGGCCTTTGTAGTTTCCCGTACAAAATTACCGAAGCTTGGAGCAGACGAGACAGGAAGGCCGTTGTACCCATCTTGGAGCGCGCCCAGAATCTTTGACATGCACACTCCGTCGTACTGGGCGTGAGACAGTCGCATAAAGATACGGTATCGTCCCGTTTGCTTTTGCTTTGCAACGACGAACTGGATGAACGCTTCGCCGAGCCTTGGTCCATTCTCACGGTCCTTCTGTCGCAGGTCTGTGGTAAAGGTTTCGATGTCGTCGTCTGTTTGGTGGTAGATGAACTCGGGTTGAAGTTTACGCAACACCACCTGGAGAAAGCGGTCACCGTACGGGACGAACACAGTGCGGAGAATGTCAAAGGCTTGTACCATGCGGTAGGCAGCTTGCTTCAACTTGCGAAGATCGAGTGGTCCATCGCCATCAAGGTAAAAGTAGTTGAGCATCCATTTGGACTCCATGAGGGTGCCGGTAATAGCAAGAGATTGGAAGTCGGTGACGGGGAACACATCAGAGATGCCTCCCTTGAATACTTGCACCTTCGAAATAACGCTATCAACGTTGGGATCGCCAAGCATCGATACGGATCTGTTCGTAGAGCTCTCAACTCCTTCCTGGATTGTATGCGTGGCTAGCGACTTCTGGCTCACTTTGCGGTCGGCGGTCGGCCTCGTTTGGTTCGTCGTAAGCCCTTGCCATCTCTTGAACATTGTTGAATCACGGTTGTTCAGCTCTGATTCGGCAGGGATTTCGCTAGGAGCCATGCTCTTAGTATCGGCGTTGGGATCCGACACGATATCCTGGAATTCACTCCAGATTGATGGGGCTCTGTCGTGAAGGCGAGACCTCGACTGACCTCCAACACTCCTGCCTGCCACTGATCCGCCACCAGCCCGAGACATGACCTCGTCAATGACTTCGCCAGCAACACGCACGACCCGAGCCATGTCGGCGAATGTCGGGTTTTTGAAGACATCGGCCACGGTCATCGACAGGCCCTCCTCTCTCGCAGCCCCAACTAGGCGCATAGCAATGATACTGTCGCCTCCGAGTTGGAAAAAGCTGTCATCCTGCTCGATGGTTTCCTCTACCATTTCCAGCAACTCGCTCCACAAAGTCAGAAGCTTCTTTTCCACGAAGTCTGGTGCAACTTTGGTAGAAGCCTCGGTAGCCAGAACGCCCAAAGTGGCGACCATATCAGCAGCCGTCTGGATCCTATTCTCCGCATTACTGGCGATGCTCATCGCGCGGCGTGAACGTATGGATGCTGCTCTTGTGGAACCTGTTTCATCGATACTTGGTCGTCCACGTTGAGACATGGAAGTCCTTCTTGTAAGCATGCCCGTCATTTGCGTGGTCATCTGATCGATTGTGGCAGATGTGGGTTCGTTAGGTAGCTTGTTCTGCGCTACGATCTGCTCGACAATTTGAGGAACCATCTCGCTGACAATGGACCTGATGAGACTGCTCCAATCAGGTGTTTCAGCTGGAAGTGGCGGCGCCGGAGCGAGATCAGGGAATGTGATTCTTGGTGTGCGAGGTGGTGAGGTTGACCCACTGGATATGCTCGAGCTAGACCTGAGAATCGAAGGACGGGGCTTGGGTAAGTTGAGACGTGAGGGCGCAGGTTGCGCAGGTTTGCCCTTGACGATAACATCCAGCTCTGCAACAGTTTGCTTTGCGTTGTTCAAGGCTTGCACTAGAATCTTTCCCATGAGAGCAGAAACGTTCTTGGCTTCACCATCGGTTACAGCATCACTCCAGTAAGTGAAGCGCACCCCTTCATCGTCGCGAGTGGCATCGATATTGACCGTGATAGCAAACTCGCTAGGATCGTGGCCATCAAGCTGCTCAAACTCAATACCAGAGTCGTCTGATGTGGGCTCTTCGGCACTCGAACGTCTTTGAATCGAAACAGCAGTGTTGAAGAGCGACTTCCCTGATAGTCCGAGATCATGCTGGAATTGGGCAAGCGAGCAATGCTGATGAGGCATGGACTCGACAAAATCAGACTGCACCTTTTCAACAATCTCGAGAAGCGACGTAGCCGGTTTCAATTCGATACGAGAAACCAACATGTTGATGAAAGCGCCGACCGCGCTCTCGATTTTGTCGATCGGTACGTTCCTTCCCGAGGTAAGATAGCCGTAGCACACGTCGGAGGAGTTGGTGTAGGATCGGAGAACTAGAGCCCAAGCTGCAAGAAGGATATTGGCAATAGTAACGTTGCTGCTCTCTGCAAGCTCATGAAGCTCGTCAAAGCGGGTGAAACGCATATCCAGGGATCGGAGCTGTCTTGGTTTGCTTGGGTCCCGAGGTGTGGTCGGGAAGTAGCACGGGCTAACTCCGCGAAGCTTGGCCTTCCAGTATGCTACCGCATCGTCCGCTGGAAGTGCACGCAAGTACTTGATGTAATCGCTATATAGAGGGCCGTCCTCAGATAGACGCCCTTCATATGCTTCCTGAAGATCCTGGCCAATGACGCCCAGAGAGCCTCCATCGATGACGGCGTGATTGACGATGACCTTGACAAAGATCTTTCCCGAGGAGGTCTGAATGACCGCGGCTTGGTGCGGAAGAACGGGCTTCTTCTTTCCGTTGAGAGAGCTATGCTTGATTGACTCGAGTAGAGCCGTCAGTTCAGCATCGGCACACTTGTAGGTAACAATGCCGGAATCGGGACTCTTCACAACAATCTGATCGAAGACGCCTCCCTTGCAGACACTGTCAATGAAGATGGTGCGCAAAGCTGGGTGACGGGCCACGACTTGCTTCCATCCATCCACAACCTTGCTGGCATTGACCGGCCCTCGCTTAGACCTGACTTCGAATGTTGTTGATGACCAGTATGATTCTGGAGACTTGATCTGACTCAAGATCATACCGTCCTGTATGGGGGAACAAGGGTACATGTCTTCTACTTGATCAAAAGACGGAACACCAGCGTGTGGCAGAGTCTTCAAAACCCGATCAAGGCGGCTGTAAGACTCTAGTGGTAGCAGTGGGAAGTCGGCCATAGTGGGTT